TCTCACATTGCACGCCACCTAGATTGATGTGGAGCTTCTCGCATCCAGCTCCTGCCAGCCTACGTCGGTCTCCACTCAATAACTCGTTCACCCCAACAGATATATATTAACAAATGCTGCGTCCAATATAAAGGTTCCTAAATGCGGAAAATGTATTCAAGAAAATATAAATGAAAGGTAATAAAGATTAAAAAATCGCAAAGCATTCTATATATAATGTATAATCAACTAACTAAATCGATAATTTTATTTATTTAATACGCCAGGAGCAAAGGAACAGGCTGATAAACTGATGGTAAGGTAATTAAGATTGGCTTCAAGTTCAGTTCAAGTCAAATAGTTACACAAAGTTCGAAGAAAAATTACTGTTTTCACTATCTTGAGATAAGAAATGATCCTTCTTTGAAGTGTTGATAACGCTTCAACATTTTGTAATAACAAGTCACTCACTCGTACATGAACACTTAGATGAATTAGATTAAAACATTAGTCGATTCATATTAATAAGTACTCTACAACTCTAAGATAACGTTCTAAATTATTAGATATTATACGTTGGAGCTCTGTTATTTTTTAAAATTGAAGCCATGCATAGATTGGCAGAATATGAATGTTTTACGCAAATTAAGTGCAATAAGAAAACATTTTTAAACAATTTGGACTTTAAATTAAAACTAATGGAAAAACGGCTCCATAAAACCATTAAATGTGTCCAGTATATACTTATCCCAGCTGAACCGCGCCACTTCGTGTGCTTCTCTCAAAAAGAAAAAAATTCCCGTTTTCGCAATATTTTTCATCGATACTAGGCTACTATTGGTCGTACTTACTTACTTTTGAGTTGTCGTTTATCTATGGGCCGTAGTTTATCAGGTGACACGTCTATTCGTTTGTCCCCTATTCCACAAAAAATCCAGAACAATGTTGTTGATATTATCACCATTGATGATCCACTGTCACTACATCGACAGTCTATTATGTAGTCTATTAGTAGAATACCGATATTGTGACTGATGTCAATGACATTTCAATGGAATTTATAGCGTGTCAATGGTATGACAGTGGCTTATACGTTAACATTAAATAGCAGAGTTGAGGCCCAGGTCAGTTAAACGACAGAGTCGTAGTTAAATGATCTTTTCATAGACTCTTGAAGATTTATGTGAAAGTCCTGGGCTTTATTTGTTGACCTGAATTGGTCAGGGACCTAGTATATAGGTAAGACACTATGTCGCCTTAAACGGATTTTATGACAAGGTCTGGATTAGGGAGATGTAAGAGTTTTAGGAATGGTTTATAAAACTCCTTTAATAAATTAGTAGACGATATAAAGTATCCCACCTGTGGCCACTACCTCATACGGTGAAACGCAGAAACATACTACAGCGCCATCTAACGAAGACTCACCGAACTCCTGAATGAAAATTGCTAATCCTGTATCGCGATATGAAAAATTCTCTTGCGATTAGCACATATACAACTTCGTAACATCAACCCTTAGGCAATGGCTCAACTCGCTTGGTCGAAGGATCCTCCCTTATCAAATCCTTTTTCAATGTGCAGGTAAGGTTCTTAGATCAAGAAGACAAAATATTAGTTAACTTTATTACTCTTTATTATATTTAGCTAAATCTAATTAGATAATATGGGTTCAGGTTAATGACACTCCTGTTAGGTCAACCGATCGAGTGCGAAGCATGATATACAGGTAGCTCACTAGTTACTCTGTATGTACGTTTTGGCGTATCATACTGACAGTTGACACGACACATGCGACGTTGTGCGAGTGCATTGCCCTCACACACATGGGCGTAGTCACGGTGGGGCAGGGTGAGGCACTTGCCCCACCCTGGGTCTGACCTGAAGGTACCTAAGCAAACCTAAAAAATTCAATTATCTAGCTACTAACTTGGCATACGCCCAGAGCCCAAACGGCTGAAGTTAAAGACACATTTTTGGATGGAAGATTTCGTGGTGTATGTAGGTGAGGTGAGGTGTATGTAGGTGAGGTGAGTAAGAAAGTGTTTTGGATAATTCGAATTATACAGACGAATACAGATCCTGTATCTGTACTCGTCTGTATGATTCGATGCTTATAGGTGTAACCTTTTTGTATGAAAAAATAAACCAGAGTACGACCGCGGGTATAGTTTGCTAGTTACATATTATTTTAGACTTCTGCCCCACCCTGAGCCCATGGCTAGCTAAGCCCATGCTCACACACTAAGTATGTATGTGATCTATGCGAAGCAAGTACAATCTGCATAATTACAATATTTTATATTACGCTCAAATAGCGCAACAACTAAAATAAATTCTTTATTAAAAATTTCACTTTTATGTTTTACTTTTCAGGTTATATTTAGAAACATAACAAAACAGTTTTTAACAAGATAAAAGCTTGTTTGAATCTAATATTGAAACTCCAAGGAAGCTTCTAACTTGTCCTTCTAACATTAAACGCATTTTTCTCGATAATATACTTTGTTGAGCTGTGATGTTAATTGTGTGGAGGTGATATATGGGTACGATTTTATACATCATTTATTGTATATTAGCAGAAAAGCAAAAATGTTTACAAACTCTACGATATACATATATTACGCTGTCTTAAGCACTGTTTGTTGCGTTTGTGAAAAAGTAAGTGATTCTTGATTATTTCATTAATGGAAGGTTAAAATTTTATTATAAAATTCACTATCGTGGATCAGTAAACCTGTTTACGCCTCTCGGACACCCAGGCGTCCATTGGAAGCATGAGGTTAACTGTAAACGCTCCCTGTTTGTTTTTATAGATGCCTCCTTATTTTTTTTGTCGGTCAGTTCTCATTAATTACATAACTTAAATCATTCTTTTTGTTCTAGACAATTTACATTTATCGTTTCGCAACGTTAGACCCTCGTCCTCACGCTTCTTGAGTACCTACATGTTTTCTTCCAAAATATTAAGTTAGGATTTAGCAGCTATCCTAACACAACAAGCATAACGCGTGATTTAATGCTGACAGACTTATTTCCATAGGCCACTGGTAAGTAGAACTATTCCTAACTAGCGCCTGTTTGCGTATTGTTAGCAATGAACATTCTTGTGCAAATTTAAAACAGTGGATTTGCGCCGCGCGCACCTTAGCATCTGGACAGAATGTAATTTATTTATAAATACTGTTTTTTTTAAAATGTCTTTCAAATCAAATCATTTATTTTGCTAATATGGGTATATAATAAAGGTGTTAATTATATTGTATTATTCCAGACCATAATCGGCCCATAGGCATCCAAAATGTTTTTTCTAACTCCTAACTTGACAAATGTACTAATGTTTAAAGTAAAATGTAAAACAATAAAGCGTAGAAATCTTATATAAGTTTACAAAAAATAATAAAAACACATATTATTCTATTTAAACTTATCTAAATACTCCGTGTGGTGACGGATTCATAATACGGAGTGTCACCACCCCTATTCAACCCGTGGGTGTCGTAAGAGCCGACTAAGGGAGTAAACTACGCAGGGCAACAACCCGTCTGGCCAGCGTGACGTCTGGCCAGTAGGCCAAAGCCTCCATTCTAAGGAGAGGCCTATGTCCAGCAGTGGATTATTAAAGGCTGTTGATGATGATGATGAAATACCCCTTAACATCATAATAATATTTATCGATTAGAAACTCTTTTAACTTCCTTGTGAATAAAGAAATGCATTGAATTGTATTAATATAAGTCGCAAGTTTATTGTACAATTTAGGTGGCATACAAAATACAGTTTTATTTAAAATAATTATTCTACTCGTTTGTACCTGAATTTTGTGACTATGTCTAATGCTTCAAGGCGGTTTTTATGAATTACTTATTACAACAACAATAACTTCACATACCTACACAAACATGGTATTCTTAATAATTTCAATGATTGTAAATAAGGTTTACAATTATCGTACTTTTTTAATTGACACATCGCCCGAATACATTTATTTTGGGAAACAAAAGCAATTTGCCTATCGGTAGAGTTTCCCCAGTTGTTTGCAGTTTTAAAGAGTTCACACGCCGATTCTTCATAGGAAATTATAACATTATAATAATCTGTATTCACACAGGTAATATAGGAAGTATCGTAAAAAATAAGTCAGAATTTTCGTAAATCTGTCTACAAAAATGTATGTTTGTCTATGTCTTTCCTCAAACGGTTCAGCGGTTATTGATGCCCCACACTGACTGCACGGAAGGCATAGTGGTTGAAGCGGTCGCCACGACGCTTCCTACTACGCTGAGTGTTGTGGGTTCGATCCCCACATGGGACAACACTGTGATTCACAAATTGTTGTTCTGAGTCTAGGTGTTCTTTGTGTCCGTTTCATGTATGTTTATAAAGTCCCCCGCGTCACAGGATATATTTCTGGTGCGAGAGTTCTTTAAAAAAAAAAGAGTGCCAAGTTCCACTCGCCTTTTTACTCCCTTAAAGGATGATTTATCGGTTAAAAACTACCCTATGTCCTTTCCCAGGACTTGGACTATCTCTTTACATAATTTCATCTAAATCGGTTCAGCGGTTTAAGCGTGAAGAGTAACAGACAGACAGACAAACACACTCGCATTTATAAGCAATCTGGTTACTATAAAAAAAAGCCACTATAGTCTAGGTGTTCTTTGTGTCCGTTTCATGTATGTTTGTAAAGTCCCCCGCGGCACAGGATATATTCCTAATGCGGGAGTTGTCTTTTTTATTTAAAGAAAAAAAAGAAAGACAAAATATTTGACACAGGTTCTACTTAATTCCTTTTGTTTTAATAATGTGCATATATGACAATACAATTTCATACTTTCAAAGAGAATTAAAGAAATGTTACACTTTTTTTTAAAATTCTGTATTTACAAGTTATTTATATATTATATGAGAATCACTGTATATTCTGCATCATTCATTATATTCACAAAATAAAACAAATAAATACTGTCTAATCAGATAATTTATTAACAACAATATCCTGACACAGCAACTTCAAGTGTTCACTTCTTCTTGTCTGTGGCCTTAGGTTCATCAATGGGGTCCAGTTTGGGTTCTTCAAACTTGAAAGTCGGGAATGCTGTCATGTCTACACCAGAACCACCGCCATACTGCTTCTCCAGCTTCTCAAGCTCTGTTTTCATTTCCCTTTCGATTTCTGGGCTGGCTTCTACAAGTTTGCCTCCACTGTGAAAAAAGAAATAACCTTTAAAATCTAAATATTATAAAAATAGGATATAAACCTACAACTTTCTATCAGATAAGAATTAACACATATTATTTCCTTTGAGAAATGGTTGACTGGTAGAGAATGCCATAGGCGTTAGGTACAGGAATTTAAAACTTAAAAAAGTAAATAAAATTATGGTAATGATTAAGGAAAAATCACGTTTAACATGTAAAATGCTATCAAGTGCTGCACCATACCCCAACTGTAATAAAAATAATGGTGGTCAAAACAATGGTTGCCATTAAAAGTAGATTTCAAAGACATATTGATAGAAATGTAGATCTTTCTCTGAGCCCTTTTCCCAAACTAGTTTGCTCAGTACCTAGGTTGTAGAGGGTTGATGGTGACTACTTCACATAACAAATCAAAGTTCAGCCATATCATAGTAAACTTAAAGCCAACCGCTTTAACATGTCTTTGAAATCTACTTTTAATGGCAACCATTGTTTTGACCACCATTTAGGTACTGAGCAATATCAAAGTTCTATAGATGATGATGATGATGATAGAACTTTTTACGTTTCCAACTCCCTGTAACACTGGCCGCAGATGTTTGTTCAGCAATCGGGGCTGATGGTTTAATGGCTAACTTTGCAACATGTTCACCTTCTGGGTTACCACTTAGCCATGAGCCCCATGATTTGTACAGATATTGTATTGTCAGCAATTTTACAAAGTTTATTAATAAACTCACATACTGGCAATAAGTACTAAATAGGGATGGCATAAAATCACAATTACATGTGATAAATTTGACAACCGAATTACATTAGACAACCAAATGGCGTGGTGGTTTGTGTAACGGACTGCTATTCCGAAGGTCGTGGGTTCGATTCCTGCTCAAGTCAAACATTTGTGTGCATGAACATTTAATGTTTGATTTGGTCTGGGTGTTTCTATGTATAATATGTATGTATTTACAAAAAAAAAGTATATATTTATTTATATCAGATGTCTAGTACCCATAGTACAAGCTCTGCTTAGTTTGGGACAGGGATGTGCCGGATCGTTAACAAAGTATATCCGCGGATACGGATCCGAATACGGATATTTGGTCTCAAGATCCGCGGATACGGATACGGATACGGATCTTAAGTTTCTTACTCAATCGGAGCCCGTGACCTTGATAGTTGTCGCCAGTTGACGCTTTGCCGTTGACGCGTGCCAGACAGGTCAGTACGTGTTTCGTAAAGATGAAAATGTTATAAAGATTCAACTTGTGGTTGTCCCATTATAGAAGTGATGTTAAAAGTTTCTATAATATTTAAATATTTCATTATTTTAATAAGCTAATACAAAGATGTTTGATTGATCTCATTATAAAGATAGCTCTTTCCGTACCTACGACCTGCCTAGTTGATTTAGTGTAGTACGATAAATGAATTGCAATACCTTTGTGCCAAATATTTGTTTTAAGAAATAAAAAGTAATCTGAACAGAATTCAATAGTGTTTCATAGCTACCTAATAACATTATTCAGGGTTATTTTAAATTTACTGAAAACCTCTGAAGTGCATATTAGTAACATTATAAACAACAACTTTTCTTCTGGACTAACACCGAAAACGAAAGAAAAAAAATTGTTTCTCCATACAAACTAACAACATTTGATTGGTAATTTGAATGGAGGACCAACTTTTTTTCATTTTAACGTTTCCCAGAAAAAAAGTTGCTGTTTATAGTGTTACAAAGTTTGTGTTTTCACTGTAAAACTATTAGGTATGTGTTTGTATTACAAACACCAATTGAATACAAAATCACCTATATAGAATTTCATCTATGTATTGAAAGATCCGTGAAAGATCCGCCAAAAAAGTCATGGATACGGTTACGGATCTCTCTTCTCCCTTGGATATCCGCGGATACGGATACGGATATCCGGCACATCTCTAGTTTGGGACTAGATGGCGTTGTGTGAATGTGGTACAATATTATTATTATAAATCATTTGCTTTAAAAATACTCAATTACCACTTGGCCACTAGCCCCATGACTGTACAGATATTGTATTGTCAGCAATTTTGCAAAGGCATGAAAAGATGTTTTTGGGTTTTAAAATTTCGACCAGAATGATGACCCAAGTTCATTAAACCCTAATCATGAACCTTACATATAAAAGTATACTTACTAAAGACAGAAATACATCATTCCTGTTTAATGAAATGTACTTAAGTAATCTTATTTGAATAAGATTTTTTTTTAATCAGAAATTCTATTACTTTATATACATACTGGTACACTTAATTCAGTTACAGTCTGTAATTATTATATATAAATAAGCAATGGACTAGATTATTGATTAGGGTGGTACTTACGCGCTCTTTGATTTGTACTCTCGGATTTTGTCCAGGAACAATTGCTGGATGGGATCAGTGGCCTTCTGTGCTGCAGCCAAATTCCTGGTGAAAACCACAGAGGTCTTCGCCGCCCTCAAGCTAGACATAAGCCTTGAAGTGAGCATCTGAAACCGACATAACCTCTACCAGTTACATAACTCTGATAATTAAATTTTGTAAACAATAATTTATATATCGTTAATTTGACAAAGAAGGTATTTAAATTTAAGTTTTGTATTTCATTAAACAAAGAATACTTAAAAAAATTACCTTTTGAATTTTTCACTGTCTAGGGCCTTTTGACAAATATGACAACCAAATTTTTTTATCGTAAAAGAGTAAGTCAGCAAAAGTCACATTAGCATTCGGCCTTCAGAGAAAATGATTTTTTTTACAGTGTTAATTAAAAGATATTTTTTAATACCTAAATTAAACAAAGAATAATTGGATACTTAATTAAATATATGGTGAAATGAGAATATTTATGAAAATTTTAAGTAGGTAATCACCATAACATGTGTTGTGTAGTGCTGCCAATCTAGTGGATTTTCCACTAAAACTGGTGGTCGACCCCTCTTCTGTGGTGAAAAATTTGTGTCAAACCTCAAGAAAGCAAAGGAAGGAAAGTAAGGATGGTGATTGAATGGAAATGCTCAGGAAGAGAAAGAATATTAATTTAAGGCAATGAGATTATGTAGGCTTGTGCTAGAGAGGGGACGGTTCCAGCGTCGAGAGAGAAGTCAAACGTCCTCGAATTTATACCACAATCGTACGGCATAAGTCATCACGACCCATTTCGTTAGAACGGACCATCACGATGATAATTTTGATGTCCCTAGAAGTCACCTGAGTTTTTTTCATACTGTCTACCTCTTGCATGACAAGAGACTTTTCATGCCTGTTAATTAGTTTTTTTCTATTATTTTTCTTCTTCATTTTATTAATTAATTTGTTTCAGAAAATTCACAGTTGACAATGTTGGGTCAGGCATACTAGCGGTATACTCTTTATTGTCTCTTTATTGTCTACCAATGTCCAAAGTATTAAAGAACTTCCACATACTGGAAGTATTGCACTTCAAAGATGCGCAAAGGATTACGAGGTTGAGGGAATAAGCAACTTTTGCTACTAGTCTCTTAATACTGGCTCATTCCAGAGCCGATTTTGAGAGACTATTTAGCAGAATGAATGCAATAAAAAAGAAGTAGAGAAATCAAATGAAGTTAAATCTTTTATTTGCTATGTTAAAAATACGCTGGTTTGAGGTTGGAAAGAAAATGTTGCCACGCATTTGAAATTTCAATAAACGTTGTAAAACGAAACAGTACCAATTAATCATATTAATCTAAAATTGAGAATGATAGCGTAGACAATAACAATTCATCTATAGAAGACGAATTAATTTAAAACTATGGACCCCCGGTCGGCACGAAAAAAGTCTGAAAAAAGTCTCATTACACATTTTTTGGTCCCGCTCCCATCTGCTGCTGCGTTGCTGTTGCTATTGAATAATTTTTATGTGCCTGATCTTCACTTGTTGATTTACTATCTGTATGTTGAAATAATGAAACGAATTATTAATATACGTATTATTTTCCTTCTTAATAAATAAAAACAAGGTTTATAGGAAAATTCAGAGACTATAAAGCTAGGGCCGTTTTTCTTTAGTGGTTTTCTGGTGGTATAGATGATGTATCTGACGGAGAGTTAATTTAAATTTTGGCAACTCTAGTGTTAGTGGGCTGTCGGTCATAGAGTAGAGCCATAAAGCTAATTTTATAAGCTCTTTGACTGAGTCGACTTTTGCTGTCACAGTTGCTGTCTATGTGACAGACGGGGTTTATTTGTGTTGTACTGTTATCAGATGCTTTGCCGCATGCAATATTATTCTGATATTTGCTTTTATAACTGAAGTCACAATACACATACGATGTGCATTAAAGTCCAAAAGTATTAAATTCGAAACATAACTTTAGTACACCATGGAGCGTGGAAAACTACCTTCGTCTGGACGGGGTGGAAAGAGTAAAGCACCACAACATCCCCAAGACATCTTTGCTCTTGGCAGCAAGTCTACTGTGCCTGTATCGAGAGATAGTGAAAAGAGAAACATTCATAAACCGTCATCTAGTGGTAGGTACCTACTTTTGTATATTTGTAGTAATTTTCAAAATAAACACATTGGCAATAAGGACTAAGTTGGAATGGCATAAAATCACAATCACTTGTGATAAATCATATGATTTCGAGATCATTTGATCACGCCTGAGACTGATTTACAAAACCACTGCTACTTAATTATTATTATTACGCTGGCACAAGACTTTGCAAAGGTCTAAATAAAAAAAAAAGTAGTAATCTTTTATAAAAAAAAGTTTTGATTGATTTTAATGCCACTTACCTTTGCCCAAGACGAAATCACAATCAAATGTGAAATTGCTGTGACTAAAACCAGTCACTTCGTCAAATGAATATGATTTAAAAGTAGCAATAATTTCCACGTCTAGTATTAAGTATAAATTCTATTCTAGGTGTAGAACGCAAGAGAGAGCCCTCCAGCTTTGGCACCCAGCCTGCTGCCAAGAGAGCCAGGATTGGTTCCCCTGCAGAGGCAGTAGGAGGTACTTCTCTTGACATTGAGCCTGTTGATCTAGTGCCCAATGTTCTACAAGCTTTAGATACACTTAATTCAGATAAATTGGTACGTATTTAAGTTTCAAATTATTGTATGGTTTCAATTTAACTACATACAGTGGCGAATTATCCCTGAGGCAAAGTAAAAATGTGCCTAGGGTTGAGAGGTTACAAAGGGGCACATGCACAGAATTTTTAAACAAAGAAAAAATAAATGCCCATCATTAATAAATTTAGTAAACATCACTACATACAACATATTTTTGGTATTTACCTCTTTTTGATCTCATGCGATATTGATGTAACTAACACTACCTAATTTTGCCCACAGCTAGGACTTTTGACTGGCTCTATACGCCTTCTCAAATCACAACGTGCCAAACCAGATCCCATACTATGTATGAGTCTTCTCTACCTTACGAAGATTCGGCCAAACATGTTTGCCCATGAGACTGTTACTCAAACTCTCTGCACATTGTTGAAACGGGAACAGGGAGCTGCATTCAAGAATAAAGGAAACCCGTTAGTATTTGTATTGGCATGTAACATGTTATATGCTGGGCACAGAGAGAGTAACAACTGGCCAGATATATTTATTAAGGTAAAAATATATATTATTATACAGATATGACAAGATCTATATTGCTAAACATACATACAATAGAATAGAATTAAATAACTAATTCACGAACAAGAAGATCAGACCGTGGGTCAAATCTGTGAAGTTAAAATACCTGTAACTCGAATTGGCTGTTGCAGTAAAGCTCGAGCTCTGTGACTTGACCCAACCATAAACTCTTCAAATTTACAGGTTTACATAGAAGATGCGCTAAATGAACGTTGTTGGGTAGAATGTTCGTGGTGCAAAAGTTTTGTTGAGAATGTGGTAACAGCGTTCAGCACTAAGCAACCGCCAGCACATCTCATACCCACTGATAATACTCTCGGTAAGCATGTACCTTTAACACGGCAGGAGGCGCTACCGGTTAAGAAATACCACAGACACATAAAATTACGTTATAACTTTTTTGACATTAACTAAACAATGCTGTCTTTCTTAGTACCTTCCTAGAAAATAATACGAAGCAAGCTCCTCGCTTGCACTCCAGTTGGTGCCACGCGTTTGAATACTACAGACACATAAAGTCAGTATGGGTATTTTTACCCAAAAAATTTATAGTATTTTATGCATATTTAATCAATTTTAATGACTAACGAGACTCCACAATAGAAGAATTTCTGCAAATGAGGATAGCGATAGTAGGCCAAAACCTCCTTTCTAAGGAGAGGCCTATGTTCAGCAGTGGACTATTAAAGGCTGTTGATGATGATGATGATGAGGATGGCGATAGAAGAAGTCTCAGAAACAGAACAAAAATACAGAATAGGTACAAATATGGAGTCACACTATGTGGCACTTATTCCGTATATCACAAGACACCAGCCCCTGGTTAATTTCTATGGTATATTGAATATGGGAGGCGTAAATGAATATGTGATTGCAAAAGCTAATGCTGAAGAACAAAATAGGGCCACAGAGTAATCAGTAATTCTTTGGTGATTCCTTGGTCTTGAAAGAATTAGGTTTGAACCTCGTAACTCCACAAATAAGGAAACAGCTACTACAGCTGATTTGGTGACTTATTTAAAAATTAATATCTCATTGATGCTTGGTGATGATGAGGGAGATCATAGTGATCAACCATGTCCATTGGGGCTATCAAGATCCAAGATAAATTCGTCCCGTTATTCAGCATGCTCATGGAAATAGGTCAGAAAACAAAAATATTGATATGCCGCGAACATACCATTCCTATTTGTGAGGAAAGTAATCGAATTTTTTTTACGGTATAAGGGCGCAAATGAGCACATGCGTCCCCTAAAGGAGTACCGCCGCCCATAGACACCTGCAACCCAAGTCAATATATTGATGGCAAGGCACAAAAAGTAAAAAAAAATAGTTTTGTTGTCTACCTAACTGGCTGCGATTTGATTTAAATAATTTATTCTTCTTGAAACAGGTACAATGTCACCCTCAGGATCTGGATCTCCGCTCATGGGCAGTACAGAAGAGGATACTCCTGATAATACTGACCTTGAATATTCAGTCTTCCCAAGGTAAGGTTCTTGATAAGCTTATTTTCCTGTTGTCCAATAGGGTGACAGTAGTCTTACACAGTGATACTAGACATCTCTGAACAGGCTAGATAACAAAACTATATTATCTTTATTAAAACATACATAAACTCACGCCTTTAAGCATATTGAAATGAATTGAGCTGAGAATTGAACCCTACGGAACCCCCATAGTGACCCGAGGGACATCTGTCCCTTAACTTCCACCCTTTGGATCCTGTTACCCAAATAAGAGATAAGAAGATCCAAAGCTGTATTCCTTACTCCATAGTGATGCAATTTCCTGATCAATGTTTCATGAAGAACGCAATCGAATGCCTTAGACAAATCACATTGCAGTCATTTTACACATTTCTAGGTAAACATTTATAGATAACTAGCTTCCGCCCGCAGCTTTGACCGTGTGGATTTCGGTAACCGTGATCCTTTTTTTAACCCCCGACGCAAAAACGACGGGGTGTTATAACTTTGACGTGTCTGTGTGTAGCATCGTAGCTCCCGAACGGATGAACCGATTTTGTTTTTTGTTTGAAAGTTGAATTAGTCGGGAGTGTTCTTAACTATGTTTGATAAGAGTTGTCCAAGATGGCCGCCGCCACAAAATGGCGGTTAACATATTTTTTCACAATTCCCTCAATATGTGTATTGAATGAAAGGGCTTGACTGGTAGAATTCTATACACTGTGCCAAATTGGTTTCGGCGGTATTTTTTATTTAATCGCCCGGTTTATATAGCATGAGATTTTTTGCGACCTCTTAAACAATAATCGTTATATTCCAGTCAATTTACAAAAAAAAACATCATGAGTTATACACCTAAACCTTTCTCAGGATTCACACTATCTATTGGTGAAAACCGTACAAAAATCCGTTCGTTAGTTTTTGAGTTTATCGTATTCATACAGACAGACAGACGGGGGGACTTCATTTTATAGATAATAGTAACGATAACGATAAACATTATTTATATAAAAAAAAAAACTCATTATACAATAATTGTAGCTAGCAATCAGGATAACGCCAACCACTGGATCAACACCCACCGTCACTAACTTAACTAAAAATATTTGTATGTTTTTTTTTTAGGCCTACCTTAGGTACCAGTCCCCCAGAGTATTGATTCCTATTTTGTTATTGTTTTAGTTATTGTAATTGTTATGATGTTGTGGTGAGAAATAAATTATTATTTTTTAAAGGTACTCAAGCAGCTACGAAGCTGTGGAAGCTCTAGTGCTGGAAGCTATAAAAGAGCAGATACAGCGACGGTCAGCTGCACCTGATGCCATTGGCAAGGGATTCTTGAAGCTTTTATCTGCCACATGCGGTTTCCCTGAGGTCAGTCAATATACTACACCGCTATCTCACAAAGTTATTCATTTGATGAAAATTAAAAAAAAATAATTGGAAAATATTGGAAACTGTTCTCATCTCTATGCAGGGGCACCTCAGTACCAGCTTCTCCCTCTAGACCGCATCCAACGAAGAGCGACTCGAATCGTCAATAGCCCAAAGATCACCGATCGGCTCGAACCCTTGGCGTTACGTAGAGATGTGGCTTCACTCCTCTATCGTATATATCGTGGAGAATGCTCCGAAGAATTGTTCGGACTAATACCGGATTCAACTTACCACCATCGTTGTTCCACACGGCAATTTTTTTATTCCATCACCTGGATAATTGGCGCTACTGTGCGCTTTTAGAGACACTTTTTGCCTCGCACAACCAATCTGTGGAACGGTTTATCGTTTGCGGTATTTCCGGACCAATACCCGTCTGCTCTTCTGCCCCCTCTAACATAAAAAAAATATATATTATGAGGATTAGTTAGAACTTTCTTAGAAAAACCAATTCAAGTTTTAGATGTATGTAAATTTTCACTTGAAACACTTTTACAACAAAATCTTCTGTGCTTTTAGATTCGAATGATATCCGCCTCCCGACTCGAAGCTTGGCTACACTCTGGAAAGTTATGGCGGTGTGCCCAGGAGCTTCTAGCCTATGTGTGTTGCAATTGTGATGCGTGTGGCCCCACTGCAGCTAGAGACCACGAGGTTTTGGCGCAGTTGGCCAGGATGAGGCTGAAGACCAAACCCCTACAGGCTGCCTACCAGGCCTGCCTTAGGTAAGCTAAAAATTTTAACTAGAAAGTAGTTTCTGCTTGATGTTAATGGCGATTTTATGAATCGATTCTAGTATCACTCTGAAACAGCCAGTCAACAGGAAAAACGATTAAAGATATCTATAAATTCAGAGCTTTTTTCGATAATATTTCTATAGACCTTTAATAATAAAAATAAATTATAGTTCTAAAAACACGCTTTTGTACCTAGCTGAACTGAAAAGTGTAAAACAATTTTCTAAAACTAAAAAAAAAACATTTTATAGTAAAAATACGTGAGGTGCTAGATCTCCGTGTCCGGTGTCCGTGTAGTGAAGGATTAAGAATATGGAATGTCACTACCCCAATTCATCCCGTGGGTGTCGTAAGAGCCGACTACGCGCGCAAAACAACGCAGGACACCAGCACTGCAAAAAGAAGGAAAACTTGACACAAACCCTATACCAACCCATCTGGCCAGCGTGGTATAGTAGTCCAAAACCTCCTTTCTAAGGAGAGTCCTATGTCCAGCAGTGGACTATTAAAGGCTGTTGATGATGATGTGCTAGATCTCAATTGATGATTGATTGAATCTAAAAATATTTTATTGACAGACTAGCTGACCCTGCAAACGTTGTTTTGCTATTTACATTATTTAAATTATTATTAAAATCCGTTCTTAGCTGACCTCTACTCGGTGAAAAGAATATTCCTACCAAATTTCAAGTCTTTAGCTCTAATGGTTCCAGAGATATCGTGATGAGTGACTATATACGTGGAAATCTCAAATATATATATAGATAATGGTAAAAGTAAAGTTATTATACAGCGTGTAAGGGACGATTAGATTGATCCAAACAATAAATTGGTAGTCTTACGATTACAGGTTTTCAAAGGTGCTTATTTTTTTTAATATAAATAAATGCAGATTAGTTGAATAGTTAAGACATTCATTTTATCAGCTAAGCTAGAGGTCGTAGGTTCAATTCCCACCTAGGAGAAATAAAATTTATGCATAATCATTTGCTCTGTTTCTGAGTATTATTTATGTATAATATGTATGTATTTAGACATAACATATAATTATATTTATCGGCAGTCTCGTTACCATAGAAGCCTGTTCTATGGTAACGAGACTCCCGATAAATCTGTTTAGTTTAGGATGTAGGTTTAGGAGAAGTCGTGTGTGACATGTGTAAAAATATTATTGTGTGCTAGTTGGTATTTCTTATACATTTTATTTTGCAGGGAAATGGTGGCCGATAGTCCAGCACTTTTGCGCAGTGTGGTAACTCACACGATATACAACGAACTGTCCAATGTTAGATCACCGAACAATATGGCGGTGCTCGCGGCGCTCATACAGGCCCAGCCGCAGCTAGTGCCGGCTGCTATGGCTGATACATACCAGGTATATTACATATCTCATTTATTATTGGCCAGTTCATGGTTCTGCTTTAGTGACCAAACTTAACATTGAGTAGTCAACTCTGGTCCCTTCGAGCCATTGCTTTTGATCCCATTTCTTATTCCAGACATGTGGTATATACAGTCCCTCCATTTATAAGTAGATCAATATTCTCTTTATAATAGGTTTATTATGGAAATTTAATAACTTATCCTGAAAATATATGGAACCTTCTGTACTTAGAAAAAGCTATTATACGGAAACTACGTTTTCCGGTAATTATTCTATTCACGTTGATATTATGAAGTTATTATACCATATGGTTTTTTGTGACCAGTTCTATAGGCCTTAAGAGTTCTTATAAGTTATATTTATCATCATCATCAACAGCCTTTACAGTCCACTGCTGGACATAGGCCTCTCCTTAGAAAGGAGGTTTTGGCCTACTATATCACGCTGGCCAGACGGGTTGATATAGGGTTTGTTTCAAATTTTCCTTCTCTTGAGTACGATTGTCCTGCGTAGTTTGCTCCCTTAGTCGACACCCACGGGATGAATAGGGGTGGTGACATTTCGTATTCTTAAGTTCTATTAAATTTAATAAAAAAAAAAAAAAAAAAATTACGTTTGTGTGATATTCTAGCGTTTTCTACTAAACCTTTCAAAGTTTATCGTATTAATTGTTTTTATATTTATAAAATTTTGTATTTCAAACTGGTTATATTGTTCCGGCTCGAAGGACCATAATCTTCGTATCGTGATACAGTTTCTGGATTGTTTTCGAACAACTTTATTTCATTGTCGAGCCCATGATCTTGATTAAAAAATCCGGTTGACTGTGCAGGAGTTGGTGCTCCGGCCGGAGGACTACCTGCGGCCGCTGCGGGCGCTGACCCGCGAGGTGGTGCGCGCGGCGCGGGCCGAGGCGCAGGCGCTGCTGCACCTGGCGCGTGCGCTCGCGCAGCCGCCGCCGCACGAACCCGCGTCTGAAGTAAACACCGCTTCCTACTCTTCGATAGTTCTACTTCTTCATCCTATAAAAATGAATTCTATTTTCTCTCTCTCTCAGGTCCGAGATAGAGCCTTTTCCTCCCTAGCGGACCTGTTCTGCGTATGTTGCCTGGTGACCGCCTCCCACAGCAAACACCTGCCCGAGTACAGGCAGCAAGTGTGCGTTATCCAGACTTCAGCTCTGGGCTGGCTCCTGGACACCGCCATGCCTCTCTACAGACCTTCCCGACATGATTATCAGCATGCTTTGAACAAGGTACAGTGTAAACAGTATTGTTAAAACTTGTTTTTTTTTTTATGTTAGAGGGGGTAACTGCGACTCAGTCACGAGTGGTGTTGCCAAGCGTTGCATGTAGTGACCCACCCCCCATAACTAGGGTGGTTGAGCCTTTGTTAGCAAAACCGGTGACGTGAAAAGATAGTCTTTTTTTTGTGTTAGATTGGGCAGACGAGCAGACGGCTCATCACCTGATGGAAAGTGACCATCGCCCCCATGAACGTCTGCAACTCAGGAGTCACAAACGCGTTGCCGGCCTTTTTGAAAGGAGTACGCTCTTTTCTTGAAGGTTTGAAGGTCGTATCGGTCTGGAAATACCGCAGACGATAACCCGTTCCACAGATTGATTGCGTGGGGGGCAAAAGTGTCTCGAAAAGCGCACAGTTTGTCAGTAATGTTTATTGTTTAATTAAGTTTTAGGCCAAGCGTGAGCTGAGTGAGTTATTTCTTGAAATTTTTTCCCCTCCTGAAACCTTATTACGTATATCTAAAAAGATGACATTGCTAAATTCTTTATGATATTTCGGCCGTTCTCAATAATCTTATTAACAAATACAACTGAGCATTTTTTTGTGTTTAGTAATATTGCAAAGATTTAGTAATTTCAATTAAAAAACGACCGTACTTTAGCATATTTCACCCACCATATGACCATCAACTCTAATACTACGCATATTGATCCAATCAAAGACTGCACGGATGGCGTAGCGGTTTAAGCGGTCGCCACGCCGCTTTCTATTACGTGAGTGTTATGGGTTCGAGCCCCACATGGGACGACACTTTGTGTGATCCACAAATTGTTGTTCTGAGTCTGGGTGTTCTTTGTGTCCATTTCATGTATGTTTGTGTTCAGTCCCCTGCGGCACAGTATATATTCCTAGTGCGGGAGTTCTCTAATAAAAAATCAATGAGCGCGCGCTTGCCCCACTCCCTGTAACACATTTACGTCTCCTTTCAGGAACATGTCCCATTACACATAAGAAATGTCTGGAACTTTTTGAAGTCTGTTTTTATCCTAAGCTCTAAGGCCAATTCTTGTAATAAAAGTTTGGTCAAAATTCAGTTCGTTCAACTCTCTATCTCGCAGCTGTCCTAAAAAGTATTTTCGTAGAAAAGTATTACTAATTACCGATTTAATTTTGGTCACAATACGATATAATCCGAGTGGGAACGGACTAAGAATACGGAGTGTCACCACCTTTATTCAACCTGTGGGTGTCGTAAGAGCTGACGAAGGGAACAAACTACGCAGGACAACAGCACTGCAAGGAGAAGGAACACTTGACCCAAACCGTCTGGCCAGCGTCAGTGTGTGTGAGTGTATAGAAGGCCAAAACCTCCGTTCTAAGGAGAGGCCTATGTCCAGCAGTGAACTAGTAAAGGATCTGTTGATGTGATAATACGGTATAATCACATTAGTCGACGTTGGACGTTTTATACTTAATACGAAAATACATTTTATGACAGTTGAGATCAACAGTTTATTTTATTTTTATTTATTTATTTTATAAAGGTTCACAAACAAATGTTTACATTAATGTCTTAAACTAATACATACTCATATATTTAATAACAATGCAAACACCGCCTATGCTTTAACACTGGATAAAACTCAAGTATAAAACAATGAACTGAAAAATCTCACTCAAGTAGAGTATTAGTACAACATTACGAGAATTGGCCTTCTGAAATGTTAAATTGTAATGTTCATATTTTAGATAATGTTCGTGGAGCCAGCGGAGACGTACAGCAAAGTGGACAATTGGCCGCCGGAGTCCGAACGCGCGGCCACTTACCGCCTCTGTTGTGAAGCACCTCTACCGCAGAATACTCTACTTAGAGTCATATTTATTGGGTTATCTAAGGTAATTTTGTAATCTTACCTCATTTTATAAATGTTTGTTTAATCACCAGCCTATCGCATTCCACTGCTGGACATAGGCCTCTCCCATTGCACGCCACTTAGATTGATTTTGTTTATGGGAGGTTAAATTACCATGAGTTTGTTTGCCCTTTCTTCTCATGAGGCTCAACTCCTTGGAAATGGGCGACACAGGAATATAATGGATTATTCTACATTCTACAGAGATTGTTACTATTGTGTGTGTTGATCTATGACCATAGAGTCTAAGACGATCTCAAATAATTTTTAAACGGATTTTATGAAATAAAGATATTTTGAGTTTACTGAATTGTTATGAAATTTTACAGACCTAGTGTCTCGGTTTCTTTCATCCAGCAAAAAAAAATATATTTCCTTAGGAGCCGCGCGCCAAAGCTACTATGTTACATACAGTTAGGGAAAAAAATAATCTGCAGTTCAAATATTGTTATCATTTTTACCTCGTTATTACTATTTAAAATACTCGTATGTAATAACATACGAGTATTTTAGAAGTCTACAGCAATACATGGTTGATTTCTTTTACGTGTTACGAGTCTGACAAACCCAAGGGGTCTTCATCCCTGACCTCTGTCAGTATTGGGTTGTGCAGATGGATCGAAACTACAACGGTTGGTAGATTATAGCTGGGGTGAGGATTTTATAGTGAACAGATGGTCACCTGATGGTAAGTGACTACCGCCGGTCAAGGACACATGCAACTCGAGTTACGAGTGCGAAGTGGGGACCTTTAAGTCTCACCAGAATCAGGTTAAGGACTCCCGTATACCTCACTCGGTGTACAGCAACGAAAGAACTGCCTAACACCGGTTCTTGTGAGGACGTGGTGTCACGACCCGTCGAGCCGATCCGTCGAGCCGACCCATTTGTGACTAGGAAGGCTCTGCCACGGTTGCTAAGAAGTGAAGAAACCTATCGTGTCGACGTTAATACTTATATTACACCCTGAATAGTAATTTTTGAATGTCGACAGGATATTCCAGTAGCCCCTGCCGAGGTGTTCGAGCTAGTGGAGCAGCTGGTAAGACGCGCGTGCGCACTCTCCGCAGACGACAACCCTCTACAAGTAGACAAACTGGAAATTGTTGATTATATCTTCCAATTGTGTCAATTTAACCCACCAGACAATATAACCCTGCCAGCTGGGTAAGTTGGTCATATAAACATTAGGGTATTCATTTTTAACCGACTTAAAAAAGGAAGTCGTTTTAATTTCGATTCATTTTTTTTCTTTTTATGTTTGTTACTCCCGTCCCTTATGAACTGATTTAATAATTTCTTTAATAGGGTATTCTCGTTTGGTCTGAATTTGAACGAAAAATACTACCTACAATGATAATTAAATTAAGATCTGCACGTATTTGTTTCGGAGTTTGGGTGTTTTCTATGTATAATATATATGTATTTACAAAAAAAGTATATAAGTATTATATCAGTCAATCTAGCTTTCATAGTATAAGCTCTGCTTAGTTTGGTACTAGATGGCGTTGTGTGTCAGATGTCCGAAATATTTTTATTATTTATCATTATACACGGTGATTTTGAAAGCGTTTTGGAAACGAAATATTTGAATTTGGAATCATCTATAGTACCAATAAAAATGATTAAATCAATTGTAATGTTGTCTAAAAAAAAGTTTCAGTTTTAATATTCATTTTTACTCGATCGACTTGGAAAGTAGTAATGGACTGATCATTCATTCATTATCTTATATGAATGAAACACGTCCGTGGGCGTTTCGGCGGCCGCTGCGCAGCGCTGACGCTAACAGCAGCTGATAAAAGTATACCTATAGGCGCGAGCTAGCGAGTACTTACGTAGATAGACTCCAATTTGTCCTTCATACTTTACACGGGCTTAGGACCGTCAGAAATACCTATTTTATTTAAACTTATTTTCGATTATTAACCACGATTGTTCTTTTCACAACAAATCAATTTATCAACGGACTGTAGGTATAAATATTTCAGGCGTATTTAAAAAATCGGAGCTATCTACAGAATAATTAACTTACATACCTATTTACACTATTTACAGTTCTCTGTATCGAAGGAACTGCTCAAAATGGAGTCCGCTGCATTCAATACACAAACGTCCACGTTTAATGCAATTGTTTTTTAATTTTCTTAATGTGTCTCTATCACTTTTCACTTTATCAAAAGCGTTCACTATCGCAATGCGTAAATTATCACGGCTTTCATATTCCCGTGTATTAACAAGTCTTTTTATTTCCGACCATAAGAAAAAATCCAGGGGCGTTAAGTCCGGGCTTCTCTAGGTGGCCAAGGCACTGGCTCTCCTCGACCTATCCACCGATCACTAAGCTCATTGTCCAGGTATGCACGCACTACACTCCGGCGAATAATAATTAAAACGTCCTTGACCTTGCGCATGAGTAGGTGCACGAAATTGTCCGTGGTCGAGAAGACGTTGGGTTGCAGCCAAGATGGTAGGTGTGGAGGGAATTTGAGGGCTTTCAATTCCACGTAGCCGTAGTGCATTTAAATGCTCCGGCTGGGAATACAAACGCCGAGCCTCTTCCAAGTTGTAGTTGGCAGTAGCGTACAGCTGTACCATTGCCAAGAAGTATTCCACGTTTGAAAATTCGTACTGTCGACTCATTTTAGCGCTAATCAATGCAGCGTGCCGTCACGATGTTATGGTATTACTGACCGACTGACGATGACAGGTGAGCCCCGCGCATGCGCCTACGGGGCAGACGTCATTGGTTGGACGACTCCGGCGCAACTCGGTAGCTTTGTTTTTATTGGCGAATACGATTTGATGTGACTCGATATTAAAACGCATAGTATTTCTATTCGTAGTATTTACCTACGTGTGATTGAATAGCCTACTACTACTGGTTCTGACTTTTTCTCTGTAAACGATATGAATATCGACTTTGATGATAAAAAAAATATATATTTTATTAAATTAACGTTATATATAGCTTCTGTTACTGATAAATAATTCAAAATTTTCTTTTCCAAAACGCTTTCAAAATTGTAATAAACTATATTATCATTTCTTAACTTCCACCCTTAAGGGTGGTATTCTTTTTTCAAATATAAATAGGATCAAACAGAATTTTGATTTAAAATACATATTATCTAAAAAAAAACAAAATACTCATATACCAAATAACTACTAAAACAAATGTTGAATCTATTAGTTAAAATGTCTAATACATGTACGCAGATATACTCCTCCTCCCCTGGTCATAACGTCCTTGTACTGGCGCGCCTGGATGATGCTGACGATGCTGGCGGCCCACAACCCGGAACAGTTCGCGGAGCGAGCAGCCTCCACCTACCCAACGCTCAGAGCGCTCATAGAGACTTGTATCACAAAGTAAGTGTAACAGTTTCTCATTTAGGATGTTTGATTTTAACTGACATTGTCAACGTCAAACCTGTCAGTCACTGTGTTTCCAGGGAAATATATTATATGGTCGGTTTGCTACCAAAGAGCTACATGTTAGAGGAAACGAACAAAGCGCTGTCACATACAGTTAGTAGAGAGAGTAAGAAGGTTGTTTTGGTCTTGAGTCTCTCTCTGCTCTTGTCACTGATTGGCTATTTAAATGCTCTCTTCTTTCTCTGTCTACTGTACGCTACCACTTACAGAGGAATATACAGTTTACTTTCTCTATTTATATTATCTCTGTTTGGTATACCCGGAATGTTTAAAGTAAGTTATAAATAAAAGGACAAATATTTTTTTCTTCGTCCGAAACGCTATGGAGTATGCAGTAACGCTATACAATATAATTATAATAAATTTCCCATAAACATAGCAATCTATACAAATAAATAAAATTGGAGTGTCTGTTTGTAATATTAAAATAACCGCTTTTTACTAAATATGTATGTTTACACGGTACGTATGCCAAAATAACATTTTTTACAATTTTTGTCTGTCTGTCTGTCTGTTTGTTCCGGGTAATCTCTGGAACGGCTTTACCGATTTCGACGGGACTTTCACTGGCAGATAGCTAATGACATAAGGAGTAACTTAGGCTACTTTTTTTAGACTAGCTTCGCCCCGCGGCGTTGCCCGCGGTTATAACAACAAACGCGGGTAACACCGCGGGTCTCAGCTAGAATTAAATATACAATACACATTTGGACATTGGGAGACTGGTTTCCAAATTAGGTAAAAACCTGTAAAATGGTTAACCAGGCTTCCATTCCACAGTCAAAACATATTCTGAGGCAGTGCAACATTGTACACGCAGGAGTACGCAAAACAAGATAATATATAAATTTGTATCATTGTGTCAGTAAACCGAGCATAGAGTGGAACACCAGCACGGTCGCAGAAGCTGAACGCGCAGAACTTGAGCGGGCGGCCATCTTGCAGCTGGAGACGCACTTAGCAGCTGCCAGTAACGCTAAATTGCCCGTTACTGAGCACACCTCGAGGCTGCTCAGTCAGGTATAATAATAATAATAATAAAGCCTTGTTTATTCCTTAATAAAACTTACATAATTTGATATTACAATTCGAGAAATTAAAATAAAAAAAATTAAGATTAAAATAAATAAGAATTTAAAAATAACAATAATAAAATAGCCAACTCGAATTAAAATTGATAAAATCAGTCAGGTATATCATGATTATATTCTGGGACATATTATACAGTTACCCTAGCCCTACCCAGCCCTACCCGTCATGACATACGGAGCCGAAACGTGGACACTCACGGTACGGCTGGTCCACAAGTTCAAAGTCGCTCAACGTGCTATGGAAATGGCTATGCTCGGCGTTTCCCTAAGGGATCGAATCAAGAATGAGGTGATCCGGCAGAGAACCAAGGTCACCGACATAGCCTACCGGATAAGCAAGCTGAATTGGCAGTAGGCTGGCCATATTAGCCGCAGAACCGACAACCATTGGGGAAAACGAGTTCTTGAGTGGAGACCGCGTCTCGGCAAACGTAGTGTAGGACGCCCACAGGTCAGGTGGAGTGACGTTGCGCATGATGGCTGGCAGGAGCTGGATGCGAGAAGCCCAAAATCGATCTAAGTGGCGTGCAATGGGAAAGGCCTATGTCCAGCAGTGGACTGCGATAGGCTGATGATGATTATACAGTTATATCTAGACCCAAACTAAGCTATCTTGTGCTGGAATAAAAAGCTTTATTTATTTTTTATTAAGGGATAAAGCGGGATGTTTGTTGCCAAAATTTTGACAGTTTTATCTTACAGAAATATTATTTCAATCATAAATAAAATCGAATAGAACAATTTAAATATAATTATCTGTAAGTACAATTTTTTTTGTAACTATACCAGTGACCAGAGGTCGTGAGTTCGATTCCCATCCAGAATTTCGTTCTTAACGTCACACTTTTGTGTTACAGTTAACGACTTTGGAACCTTTAGGACCGGCTCGGAAGCCTCCCCAACACATCATCGACACCCACCTAGCGATGTCGACACAGATGCGCCTGGGCAAGCTGCTGTGTCGCCAACCTGCGCTTCTCCTGGATTTAGTAGAACGGCACGGCACTCGACGCGCTATGCCCTGGCTTCATCAGCTTCTTAGACACGATCAACTTGAACTCAGGTATAGTAAAACAGATCATGTTGTAAGATATTATAGATCACTGTTTTTAAATTATCATAAAACAGTAAAGTTGTCACATGTAAAATTGTAAGTACCTTTTTTCAGGGACCTGGAATAGGCCCCTGTGACATTCCATAGGTAATTTGTTTTATTTTATATCTGTATCTATAATGTTTTACGGTAATTAGCTGTAAGATGCTAGAAAATAAAAAAATACTTAAGTTGTATAATATTTAAAGTAATTATTAACTTCGACCTTATGATTATTCACTTAGAACTAAATGTTTTAGTATCATTTGCATACGAAAAATCTATTAAGTAATGAGTTGTATTTGCAGGTCTTGGATTTGAAAGAAATAATATTGTTAGCAAGTGCTTGATGTAATTGTTTCGTTTTTATTGAACATGCTGCTGTTTATAGCAGACTGGTCATCTGTAACTCAAGAGAAACTAGTGCGATGTCGCCCTTCGAAGGGGGGGGGGGGGAGGCCGAATTAAGGAAGGGGTTTGATCCTCCGGCGAACATATGTAGCTTCACACATAGGTTTTTACATCTACTCCAGACACCGGCTATCCACTACCGAAATTGTCAAGTGTTGTAGCGTAATCCAATTTTTATTGTAATTCGGTTTTAGTGTCGGTGTATTATGTGTCGGAGCATGAGTGTTGAGGTGCATAATGTGTGGTGAGTGGAAGCAAGTAAAGATTTCAACATATTATGCAAAGAATATGAATTGGATCCTTACACCATGAAAAGTGTCACGGTCACTGAAGTGATAAATCATAACTTGTTTAGAGATCAGCTTATTCAAACGAACCGTTGAATACATTTATATGCCATGATCGTGTATTGAGTGTTCTTGAATTTATATCGATAATCCTGTTATTTAAGTTGTGAAAACCTGTAATTGGCTTTCGTTTTTAATCGTTTTGCCTGAAATGGTGATTTATAGCTTTTCATCATCATTATCAACAACCTTTAAAAGTCCATTGCTTTACATAGGCCTCCCCTTAGAAGGCCAAAACCTCCTTAGAAGGAGGTTTTGGCCTACTATACCAGACGGGTCGGTATAGGGTTTGTGTCAAGTTTTCCTTCTCTTTGCAGTGCTGTTGTCCTGCATAGTTTGCTCCCTAAGTCGGCTCTTACGACACCCACGGGATGATCGGGGGTGGTGACAATCCGTATTCTTAATCCGTCACCAGCTGTAGCTGTAGCTTAAATAAAATAAATAAATGATGCGTCGGCAGCGTCCTGCCGGTGCAGTGCCTGTGCGAGTTCCTGTCGGCGGGCGGGGCGGGCGGGTCCGGGGGCGAGGTGGGCAAGGCGGGCGAGCTGAGCGCGCACCTGCGGCGCACCGTGCGCGAGTCGGAGGAGGGCGCGCGCGCCGTGCTGCACTACTACATGCAGCGCCTCGCGCACACGCACGCGCCCACGCGCGCCAGCGCCAACCGGGTATGGACGACACCACCTACAGTTATTTATGGAATGTAAGGCCGGTCATCTGACTGCGACAGTGTGGTCACTGGCCTTCGCTTTGAAGCTCCGGTAACCTTACGCACTCATATTTTAAACTGGCAAAATAATAATTATTTTTCTCTGACTGTGAATCCAATTCCTTCTTTTTTTTCAGTAGCTATTGACGGAATTAATTATGATCAGTAAAATAAACAAAAAAATATATTAATGCTATCAATAATTGTAATATTAGAATCGAACATCAAACTCTCTCACTGACGTTTTGTATGGGCAATCTGGGGAAATCCCGCAGAACAGCATTAATAAAACCGATTTTTCACTTACAGGGTCTCAAACTAGTACTCTCGCTGTCGACCGACGACGCCGGTGAAATGGACTACAACACCGAAGTCAGCCCTGAGTAAGTTCACATATAAATAGCTATATTTTATATTACTAAGCGTTAGTATAACGGATGAAAGGACCCTCGTCAATACGTAGTTCCACCTGTCTTCGTTAGATGTCGTTAGTTCGTCATTTAGTCCATTTTTAAACGCAATATTCTTACAACGCTCGATTTCTAATCACATAGCTCAAATTTTTTGTATCCCTTTATTAAAAATGCTGACGGGAGAATATCATTTTTGAAATACTTAATGTTTAAATGAAGAAGAAGGAACCAGCCTGTAGTGAATTCCTATAATTTTTAAACAATACCCATTTTTCCATACTTTTATATTATGTAGGTAAAAGTAAGTTTTTTTGTTTCTTTATTACGCTTTCACTCCTAAACCACTTGATCGATGTTAAAAATTCTTTCACTAATAAAAAACAATATTACTAACGTGTAACATACACTACTTTTTACCGATACTTAATAAGCGACATACACGCGGGCGGAGCCACTGATAAAAGCTAATATGTTAAAAATTAAAAAAAAAGAGGACATAGAAAGACTAAAGTGATTCAGTACATATTTTTAACTATCATAATACAAACGTTCATAATAATAATGACTTGATACTGTTCCCCACACGGCAGTTTGATCCCAAACTAGACAGAGCCTGTACTATGGTAACCAGACTACTGATAAATATACTTAAATATATCTAAATACATATAATAGATAACTTACACCCAGAAACAGAATGAATGAATGAATGAAATGATCGTGCTTATCACATAAGATTTGTCCTGGATGGGAATTGAACCCACGACCTGTAGATCAGTCGCTTACCAACAGGCCAACGGCAGGCATACAACACTATATTGTACTATACAATAACAATTGCTTAAAAAGAAAACACCACATACAAAGCAGTCGAAATTCTACCACCAGGTGTTAACAGGATGTTGTATTATAGATCATGGCTGGACTTAATGTGGTCGCTGCAGCACTGGCCCTCCGTTCGGACGGAGGTGGTGGCGAGGGTCCGCGCGGCTTGCCTGGTGGAGTGCGTGCCTCGCCACGTAGCCGCCTACCTGCACTTCCTGGCGCGTTGCGTGCTGGATGCGCCGAGAGCTGACCACACTGACCTGGCGCTGGTGAGTCACATGATTGCTCATAGAGTTTTCTAGCACTATCTAAGTCTCTCGGCTATTCAATCTCTACTAATCTAAAAGTAATAATTAAAAAAAATCATTTTTTTATTTGCTCGCTTTTGAATATATATGTATCTTATATATAAAATTCTCGTGTCACAATGTTAGTTACCATACTCCTCCGAAACGGCGGGACCGATTTTATGAAATTTTGTGTGCACATCGGGTAGGTCTGAGAATCGGCCAACATCTATTTTTCATACCCCTAATTTTTTTTTTGACAATTTTTTTTTAAATAATGTATATGGCAAAACAACGTTTGCGGGGTCAGCTAGTATAATATAATAATAATATATTCTACTACATTCACACAACGCCATCTAGTCCCAAACTAAGCAGAGCTTGTACTATGGGTACTAGACAACTGATATAAATACATATATACTTTGTTTTTGTAAATACATACATATTATACATAGAAACACTCAGACCAAATCAAGCATTAAATGTTCATGCACACAAATGTTTGACTTGAGCGGGAATCGAACCTGCGACCTTTGGAATAGCAGTCCGAATGATACTTATTTTTTATTAATAATTTAATTAATTATTACATCTGATAGGTACTTTTATATTATTTATATGTTAATAATAGTAATGAAATTCCCAGGACCTAAGTCAAGTGCTCATGGAACGCTCTACGGTGATGAACAGCGTCCTGGGCAGCGGTGACCGCCTGGAACAGATCGAGCTCACAGAAGTTCAGAAGGCACAGCATAAAGCCCTTCACTCACTCACTCAGATACTTTACACACACTTGCAGAGGGTAAGCTACACTTATTTATTACTATAGGGTTGATGATTAAAATGTGTCACAACCCCTATTTATCAACACAACAGTCGTAAGAGTGGGCTAAGGAAGCTAACTACGCAGGACAACAGCACTGCAAAAAGATGGACAACTTGAAACAGAACATAGCCAGCGTGGCATAGTAGGCCAAATCCCTCTATGTCCAGCAGCAGACTACTAAAGGCTGTTGATGATGATGATTTTTGTATAGGCCTGTAATTTATTGTCAGACATTGAACTTGTGGAGGAACAGGTGTCATGTTCCTCCAACACAATGAGAGAATCCGACCAGGCGAGGTGATCATGCCTGGCGCATGTTGATGTTGGAAAGTTGCATATTTGCTCATCGTTGTGAGAAATCTTCATATCGCGATACAGGAGTAGCAGTTACTCCGTAGTTCGCTGTGTCTCCGTTAGATGGCTCTGAAGTCTTTTTTTTATTTCATTGTAAGTGAAAGTCGTGACTAACCTAAGAAATTTCGATTCGTTCGATTCCCGCCCCGGATGAGTAGTTGTGTGATAAGTGGGTTAGTTTGTGCTGTGTCTGGGAGTGGTTCTGGGTCTTTGGTGTGTGTGTATGCAGGTATGTGAGTGTGTTTGTAGGCCCCTATGAATGAGGTTGTGAAAATGGTTAATGTAATAGGTATTTTTTATAACTATACATTTTTGTAAAGCGTCGGTAGCCTAGTGGTTAAGGCATTGGACTTGCGATTAAGAGGTCTTGGGTTCGAATCCTGACCAGTACACTACCCACGTGACCCCACTCCTAATACAAGCAAGTTAGCTTAGCTGAAGGGGTTAACGGTAATACTAGAAATTTCGGTTGCTAGTAAGCCTTTAAAAAAAATAATATATATATACATTGTTATAGCAACGAATGGCTATACTATTGCATTAGGTACAAGAACCTGTAAACATAGTTGTATCGTGTGTCATAAATAAATTAAAATAAAATAAACATATTTTTTTTAGATTCGAGCCAACAACGCAGTCCCCACCGAGAACGTGTTTGGCGAGAGAGTGATGCTGCACTGGCCCAGCGGGAGATCCTGTATCATACATCTCATCTTAGCGCACGCTTATCTGAAGCTATTGTGTTGGGGACCTTCTATATGTGAGTCTGGTTTAGGGATGTTCTTTCATTAGGTCCGAATGGCGTAGTGGTTTGTGTAACGGACTGCTATTCAAAAGGTTGTGGGTTCGATTCCCGCTCAAGTCAAACATTTGTGTGCATGAACATTTAATGTTTGATTTGGTCTGGGTGTTTCTATGTATAATAAGTATGTATTTACAAAAAAAAAGTATATATGTATTTATATCAGTTGTCTAGTACCCATAGTACAAGCTCGGGTTAGTTTGGGACTAGATGGCGTTGTGTGAATGTGGTACAATATATTATTAATATTATTATTATATAATATGTTGAAATTTAATCAATAAAATATAAAAAGATAAAACCTTTCATATAACCCTCTTACCCCCCTCTTGACATAAGATGAAAGCGAACTAAAAATGTACTTTATGAATAGGATTGCCCTTTTGATTATTATTAATGACATAATAATTTATAGTGTTATGCATTCCATAATGACGTGAATAATAATAATGATATTAAGTTGTTGTAGAATGTAAAAGCTTTGAACTAATTGATATTAGCTCTATTTTTAATCATTTTTTACACATTTAGATGACACAAACCAAGAGATGTACTCCTGGCTCCAATCAGTATGGGTGGGTAACGATGCCCCCCAGGCCTTCAACCTGGAAACTGAGGAGGAAGCCCTCCTGTTACCTGACTGGTTGCGGTTGCACATGGTGCGGTCGGCCCGGCCGGCGCTGCTGGAAGCCGGCATGAGAGCCCTGCCGGCTCATAAGCTGGCTCTTTTTATTCAGACATTTGGTATGCCGCCAGCCTCCATGAGGTCAGTATCATAATAATAGGTGTTAAAGTATGAAATTGCGGATTATAACTGAAAAATTGAAACACGTTTTTTTCTAAAATATAACATATTTATTTAATTTAAAATATTTAACCTAATTATCTACACATTGCTGCCATCTAAACAGAAGTTCATTTATGCCGGTACGATAGAACTCAGGGGATCTAGATTTGCACCAGGGACTTCCTTTCTAGGGTATACCTGGTTCCCTGGCTATTAGTACCCGGAACGGCGTGCGGTTTTAGTCGGTTCGAGTCCGACATACCACCGAGAGGTGGTATCCGAGGGGATTTCCGCACGGAAAAAGAAAGGGGATCTAGACTCAACAAACTATGTAAAAGCATTTTGTACTGCCTCCTGAGAAGAAAAGTTTTTCTTCAGTCTCCTCTCCAAACGCAGCGTTGATATTGCGAACCGTTTCTGCCGCGTTAGTTCCTCGTCGGAACTCGTATTCAAAAATGACTTGGATTTTCGAAGTATCCATCTTTCACGTCTAAGTTGAATAAAAAAAAAACAATTGAAAGTTGAAAATCGAATGTTGTACATTTTTTAAATAAAGAACCTGATAGGTATCATGTGTAAAAGTTTCACACGAACATCTCATACTGAAGGTTATATTATTATATTAATTCAAAGTATCTTTTAATTTTAATTAAATTATGTATATTTGCATAAAAAAACTCAGTGTCACTGGAAGGTAGCTGGTACATATATCTGAGGTTTTACCTTTTTAGGTACCAGCCGCATATTCTATACTAGCTGACCCGCGCAACTTCGTCTGCGTCTCTCAATAGTAATAAATTTTCTCCGTTTTTGAAACATTCTGCATTGGTGGTCCGCTCCTTTTGGTCTTAGCGTGATGATATATAGCCTATAGCCTTCCTCGATAAATGGGCTATCTAACACTGAAATAATTTTTCAAATCGGACCAGTAGTTCCTGAGATTAGCGCGTTCAAACAAACAAACAAACTCTTCAGCTTTATAATATTAGTATAGATGTAATTGTTATAGCAATATTTATTGTTATATTGTTTTAAATCTATTACTATACAACGGTAATTTCATACTTTAACCCTTATGTGTGTGTATGTTGTGAATTATAAGAGTATTTCGAGCAACACGTGTGACCGATAACTATTTGATTTACTTTAAAAACGATTTACTTTATTATGTGCTTCGGTCCTTCTGAAAATGAGACATTCGATAAAGAAGCGACTGTCGCTGCGTTTAATAAGATGACTGATGAAATTAACTCGTTTTAGAGACAAGAATTAAGCAGGCATCTTTAGTTTTAAATAGAACTAGCGGACGCGACAGACGTTGTCCTGTCAAATTTGACACTGCGATGGTAGCGCCGTCTGTCTGATCCAATGTAAAACATTCCAAAATCAACAACTACTAATAAATTAAAAATTAATTAAAAAAACATTGTCCAGCGGACAAAATTGTGAATCTAAACCATTCCCAGATCCCCTTGAATACAAACAAAAAATTTCATCAAAATCGGTCCAGTCGTTTGAGAGAAGTTCAGTGACATACACACTCACAGAAGAATTATATTGTATAAAGATGTAGTCACATTTGGTGTAAGTGCATTTTTTGGGAGCAACATAAACAAGTAATATATAAAACGCGTGTCGTAGCGCGCTGCTGGGCGCGCTGGACGCGTGCCCGGCGGGCGCGGTGGTGCGGCTGGGCGTGGAGCGCAACTACATGGCGCAGCTGCTGCGCGTGCAGCGCGCGCGCGGCGCCTCGGCCGGACACGCCTTCGCCGCCGCGCTGCGGCTGCAGCCGCCCCACTACCCTCCAGGTACCTCCTCGCTCTCTTATACGTAGCTTTCATATTTCTTTTAAATATCTCTTCACTCTTTCGTAGCTAATATGTAGTTTGTAATTTGTTTTAAAAGTTCTTTAAAATACTAAAAAATAAAGCTTAATAATGTTGTAAAGATATAACCTCCCTCTATATTCACATAATGAAACCTCAAACAGGAAAATAATAATTTTCTATACCTATCCACTTACTTACTAATGAGGGTAGTTGCGGTAATTGTGCAAGACACACGTGTTACTCAGTAGTTCCTTAAATAAAATCGAAAAAGTTAAAAAAAAATGCAAATCAAACCTAAAAAGTTACAAAACAACATTCCGTAATCTACACCCTTTCTAACTATAAAAATGTTGTTGTGTTGAAAAGTATAAATAATTAGAAATAAGTGTACTATAAAACTATTAACGTTCAAATTCCACAATACCTTTGAGTACGATTAACAAAGAAATGATTTTTTATACTCATTAATGTCGACCAAGCCCATCAATTCAAGCTTATCATAAAAAAAACTTACACGAGGACTAGAGATAGAGACTATAAGAAATAGAGATAAACTGCATAAGCCAATTTGGCCTCTCCTAGAAATCAGATCTTACTACTACCGTACAAAATGTTTATATTTTTAAATATTCACGTGATAATGCGTTACGTGTATGTAAACTAACCAACTTTTTAAATATCTAAATATACATATTAAGGTTGTCTGTAAGAGATCGCCGTGAGCGATAAGACCGCCGATTGTTACGTCTATATATTTGTAAGTATCTTGTGTTAACTGTAAACAATTGTAGCAGGCAGTCAATACCCTAATTCAGTATGTAACAAAAAATCTTGATTCAAAAAAAAAATGTCTCACTATCTTTTTGGACTTTGCAAAGGCATTTGAAACAAAAGTTGAAGCGATTGGGAGTTACAGAAACACAACTCAATATTTTTAAGAAAAACTTGTCAGGAAAAGTTCAGCAAGTTAAAGTGGGTAGCCACACCAGTTCCACCATCTTCAGGTAGTTTGCACCCATATACCATTAAAAATACAAAATGGAAATATGTACCTGGCACAGATAATCCAATTTGTCCTTCATACTATTGTTGTCAGACGATAATTTATTCGCGGAGAAAGAGAAACCCACCGAGGAAGATGACTACTGGGAGAGTGCTCCAACACCTTTACCGCTGCAGGTGGACTTGGTACCTGTACTGCTGTCCACGGCCCTGGCAGGATCCAATACCTACCAGGGCGATGTAGACAGGGCTTTAGTACAACTTATTGCTGTAAGTAGCTTTTAATTATAATAATTCTATCATCAACAGGATTTAATAGTCCATTAGGACATAGGCCGCTCCTTAAAAATAAGGTTTTGGCCCTACACCACGCTGACCAGACAAATCGGTATAGGGAATGTTTTAAGTTTTCTTTCTCATTGAAGTGTTGTTGTCCGGAATAATTTGTTTCCTTAGTCAACTCTTACGACACCCACGGGATAAATAGGGGTGGTGTCACCACACGGATTATTGTATCAATGCGTACTACTGCAGGCACATGATTTTTTTAACGTAAAATTACATCTGTCTATCTGTTTGTTTATTGTCTTTTCACGCATTCACCACCCAACCGACTTATTTATATTTTTCTAATAAAAATAATAATAAAATAACCTCACATATATCTCACACACGGCTGTCTGATCCCAAACTAAGCAGAACCTGTACTATGGTAACCAGACTACTGATAAACATACTTATATATGTGGTATAAGTTATAGGTAGAATATTTAAATAGGTTTATTAAGTTGTTTTCCGTATGCTTGCAATATTTTTATATTTTTGAAGTATGGCAACTCGCGGGTGGAGTTGTCAAGGATCGAAGATGTGGTAAAACGAGACTGTAATTGGTGCTGTATAAAAATAAAGAAATATCCTATACTTCCGAGACATTTTACTTATCACACCCCACATATATATCTAAATACGTACAAATCGTAGATAAATTACACCCGAATGTAACCGACGACCTCTGTTTTGGCAGTTAAAATCAGTAGCCACTAGACCTACAGGCCTATCTAAAGTTTTTAAAGAACTATTCCAGAATGCGAATCTAGACTCTTTATATAATACTGAGAAAGTAACTTTGTTTGTTCCGTTTTCTCACTATTTCATTAAACTAAACATATCAAGACAAACTAAAACCAATTTTGGCATTGAGATGAACAAACGGATGAAATTTTACACATTATCTATATATATAAGAGATTTCCACGTATATAGTCACTCATCACGATATCTCTGGAACCATTAGAGCTAAAGACTTGAAATTTGGTGGGAATATTCTTTTCACCGAGTAGAGGTCAGCTAAGAGCGGATTTTAAGAAATTTAAAAAAAAAATAATTAAATAATGTAATTAGCAAAACAACGTTTGCAGGGCCAGCTAGTATACTATAATTACTAAAATATTAAGTTTCAAATAACTATGTTATATAAAATGCTATGTTCCCATAGCTAGTGACGTCATCCCGCACCCGTGGTGATACGAGCCACCTTCAGAGCTGCGTCTCCTGGCTGCAGCAGCTTGCGGCATCAGGTGGCGGTTCCATCCTTCTGCAGCACAAAGCCCGCTCGGCCACCTTACTGAGATCCCTGCTGCCGTATAAAGGACCGCAAGTGTCCTCAGTAAGTACAAGAAGATGTAGAGTTACACATCATGCATCATTATTTTCTTCTTCAGGAAAAGATGAAGAACTGCAAACATTTTTGTTGCCCCTCCCCCCTTCCTTAATTAGGACGAGGGGGATTTGAGCTTGTGTATCTCACTCGCTCGGCGAGAAACAACGAAAACCTTGCTTGTTCTCTGTGAGGCCGAAGCATCTTCCACGGTACCTAGAACATGGCAAGTCACAATGACTGTAGATAAATTTTATGATTATACATAATATTATCACACACACACACACCTTTCTCTATTTCCCACACAGTTTATTACAGTTACATAATTGTGTAATTTACTTTTGGACTTCAAAACTTTTATTAAATTTTGTGTGATCCACAAATTGTTGTTCTGAGTTTGGATGTTCTTTGTGTCCGCTTAAACCTGTGTAACCTTGACCGAATATTAAATAGTATTAAATACAATTCGTTAAAGGTTATTTAAATAAATAAATATTATTATTATTATCTTTTGTGTCCAGATAGCTGACGCTCTCCTCGTACAGTGCAAAATGATGACGGGCCCCGTTGTGGAAACGCTCCAAGCGTTGTCAAATATTGAAGTGGTCAAGCGCGAGCAGCCCACACCAGTGGTCCCACAAACTGCTGACAAACATCAATTAATTTCTGGTGAGTGCTAGTGATGGCTTAGACCTAAACTTTGACTCCCTGAGTAAAATAAAGTCTTGCCTGCTCAAGAACCTGTAATAATAACCTCACACATCTCACACACGGCTGTCTGATCCCAAACTAATCAGAGCCTGTGGTATGGTAACTAGACTGCTGATAAACATAATTATGTATATATTACTAAATACACACATATTATAGATAAATTACACCCAGACACAGAACAAACGATCGTGCTCATCAAACAAATATTAGTTCTGGGTGGGAATCGAACCCACGACCTTTGGTTTAGCACACGGCTCTCCACATGCTGGCAGAGTGCCCGGCGTGGGTTGAGCAGAGGCGAGATCTCGTGGCGGCCATCGGAGTGGGAGTTCTCTCGCTCGATAGCCTGATTGCGGCTATCGTGCGAGAGTGGGGGTGACAGGTGAGGCCATCTGTCACCCTAGCAGAAGCAGGCCGGTGTGGCGGCGAACGCGTTGCGAAGCGCGCTCGCTTTCAGGGAGCAGAGGGAACATGGGGTTCCCAAACGGGGGGGTCGTCTACCTGTTATTGTAGATGGCCCGAGGTATGTCGGGGCACCAGGGACTTCCTTTCCAGGGTATACCTGGTTCCCCGGCTATTAGTAACCGAGACGTCGTGCGGTTTTAGTCGGTACATGCCACCGATAGGTGGTATCCGAGGGGATTTCCGCACGGAAAAAAAAAGGGTCACTAACCACTAGACCAACAGGCCCTTCAAACCCCCCGATCAATAGATACGGAAATGTGCTCACTCCTTGTTCAGTATATGCTATTAATACGGTACAGCTCCTTTTATGCATTCGGAGTTTACCTTAAATAAATTGTTAATCCTATTTTCCTTTTACTTTTTACTTTGTATAATACTTGTGTAAACATTTGTTGGTATATCAATAATATAATCTAATATATAAAATTCTCGTGTCACGGTGTGCGTGGTTGAACTCCTCCGAAACGGCTCGACCGATTTTCGTGAAATTTTGTGTGCATACGGGTAGGTCTGAGAATCGGCCAACATCTATTTTTCATACCCCTAATTTTTTTTTAACAAAACAATTGAAATAATGTATATGGCAAAACAACGTTTGCCGGGTCAGCTATAGTTAAACCGCCGTAAGCTTGGCCCTCCTGATGGTTTGCGGGACGCGGGGCGGATGATGCGCTCGGCTATACATGACACTATGTACTAACTCGATATCTTCAGATTTCTTTGTTTGAGATTTAATCTACACACGATGTAATAAAAATCGAATTTATTTCCATGTATTATAATGTCAATGTATTGTAAGTTTTTATGATTAATTGTAAAATTTAATACTGTAAAATAATTTTAATAAAATCACCTTATCCTCACCATGTAAATTATATTCAGATACAATTTAAAAATTAAGTAAAATAATAAATATTCTTTATTAGAACTTTAACAGTAGAACCTCTGTAAGCCGAACTTCAAGTTTTTAAATCTTTTTGTGACCCAGAGTCGGCAGATTATCCATGTTGCAAAATAATACCGTGTGTAGCAGTCTTAAGAAAAATAACACGTACGGACTCACTTTCACGTCAGTCACTGCCGGCGGACAGCGACGCACTAGCTAATTGGTTGAATGCACCCCCGCCCCGCGTCCCCGAAACCATCAGGAGGGCCAAGCTTACGGCGGTTTAACTATAGTTAAACTTATCTATACTAATATTATAAAGCTGAAGGATTTGTTTGTTTGTTTGTTTGAACGAGCTAATCTCAGGAACTACTGGTCCGATTTGAAAAAATCTTTCAGTGTTAGATAGCCCATTTATCGAGGAAGGCTATAGGCTATATATCATCACGCTAAGACCAATAGGAGCGGAGCACCAATGAAGAATGTTTCAAAAACGGAGAAAATTTATTACCATTGAGAGACGCAGACGAAGTTGTGCGGGGTCAGCTAGTAAATTTATAATTGTATAAGATGTAGGTACGCAGAGACCAACAGAACGTAAAGTCGGTTTAAGAAGGCATCTTATAAATATTTGGTCAGTTTTAATAGTAATAGTGTGAAGATATGACCCAGAAATAACCATATTATTATAATCACTTTACAGCTTTGGAGTCAACTACACCAGGCACCTTGGAGGCTATAGGAAACCGCATTATTGCGACACAGGACACCAGGGTAATAGTAGATGTGATCACTCACATACTAGAGAAGAACCAAGAGGGAGTCTACGAGTCGAAGGTAAGCTGATAACGCTGTTCCTACAGGACTTATCTTCTAGAAGATCTGGTGAAGTGGTGATATATTCAACACACGTTATTATTTAAATATAACGGCTGATAATCATTCTCACAGCAACTTATTTCATGACCGTGTGGTGACGGATTAAGAATACGGAATGTTAACACCCCTATTCATCGTGTCGTAAGCGCCAACTAAGGGAGCAAACTAAGCAGGACTGCAAACACAAGGAAAACTTGAAACAAAACCCTATACCAACCCGTCTGTCCAGCGTGGTATAGTAGGCCAAAACCTCTTTTTTAATGAGAGGCCTATTTCCAGCAGTGGACTATTATAGTTAAACCGCCGTAAGCTTGGCCCTCCTGATGGTTTGCGGGACGCGGGGCGGGTGATGCGCTCGGCTATACATGACACGATGTACTATCTTCAGATTTATTTGTTTGAGATTTAATCTACACACGATTTAATAAAATTTATTCGAATTTATTTCCATGTATTATAATGTCAGTGTATTGTAAGTTTTTATGATTAATTGTAAAATGTAATACTGTAAAATAATTTTAATAAAATCACCTTATCTTCGTCATGTAAATTATATTCAGATACAATTTAAAAATTAAGTAAATTAATAAAAATTCTTTATTAGAACTTTAACAGTAGAACCTCTGTAAGTCAAACTTCAAGTCTTTAAAACTTTTTGTGACGCAGAGTCGGCAGATTATCCATGTTGCAAAATAATACCGTGTGTAGCAGTCTCAAGAAAAATAACACGTACGGCCATGCTTTCACGTCAGTCACTGCCGGCGGACAGCGACGCACTAGCTAATTGGTTGAATGCACCCCCGCCCCGCGTCCCCCAAACCATCAGGAGGGCCAAGTTTACGGCGGTTTAACTATAAAATCTGTTGATGACGTATTTTATTTATAATACACTAGTTTTTGGACCCGAGTTCACACGTGGTAATATCGGATTTTTCATATAATTTTGCCGGGGTTAATAGTAACCATTGCCTTGATGCCTGCCAAACTTGATGCATGCGTCCTCCGTGTGTGATTTTTGCATAAAAAGGAATATAAAGGATTCTCTTTTCTTCTCTTGTAAAACTTATTAACCTTTTTGTTAAATCAGGTGAAAGAAGAAGATGGTAGTTATGCCCCGGTACACGTGTTCTCACGCCGGGGGCTGGGCTGCGGGTTACTACTGGATTGGATGTCGGAACTACAGCCTGAGGACTTGGGCCCCAGTGATCAGCGACAGAGACAGGTGACTAAAGTGCTTCATATTTTTACACGCTTTTTATTAGCTGTATGTTTGTTTGTAACCGACTCCTTTGGGCGTGATTTTGACTGACTTTAAACTGTCAGAATTCGTTCAACTTTGTAGATATATCGAGGACCGATGACAACACTAATTTTAAAAAATAAAATAAAAATAATAATAGTTTAGAAAATAAATTTGAAAATAAGCGTGGGGTGCTTTTTACTATTGACAACATGCACCCAACGCTTTTTTCAAATTTATTTTCAATTTTTTATTTTGTTTTTTATAAAAAGCGTGTTTTTTTTTTAACTATTTAATAACTTTTTCTCTTAACGTCAAACGGTTACGTATGAAACAAGGCCTCACATTTACACCTTAGTTTTGTTAAATTATTCACTTTTGAAGGACGGGCAATACATATTTTTAGTGTGTTAGCAGATAAATACGGCTTTACAGAAAATCGGTGTTAAGGAGTTCTTTCACCGAGTTGTTTTATCTTCGAGTAACGCAGCGAAATTATAAATTAAAAGTGGACTGTATTTTAAATTGATTTACTACACCGTACATGTAATATGGAATGATTCGGTAATGCGTGTGTCTTGTGCGCCGCTCGGTCGTCAAGTGAAGGGGCTCGTGACACCTTCAATTGCCGCAATCGTCGCTCGCTCGCTTCGCCGCGCCCTCCGCGCCCTCCGCTCCCTCGCATGTTGCCCACGCGCCTCACGCGTGAACAGAGTGATTGAAGTTTACGGAGTCTAAATCCTCTCCCTCAACTCCCTTGGGGGGGGGGGGGGGGAGGAAGGGTACTACAACAGCGGCAACGACTTTGTGACTCTGTTTTTTGGTAGCGATATTGGTGGTGGGATCTGGTTTTCATATTTAGACTCAAGAACGGTTCTTCAAGCGTCGAGGTATGATTGGCTAGGTGACCCAAGCCAGCTCTTTTTAAAAGCTCAGAAGCCTCACGGGGTGTTCACAGGCTTCTAGGACCTATTCTTATCAATAGGCAGCGGTAAACATAGAACATTAAGTTAGTTGCTTAATCGCCCTCTCTAGTATATGTAGTCAGGTTCCGTGTTATAATGTGGTCCCCCCCCCCCAGATGCGTCTGATGTTCATGTCGGGGTGCGCGGCGTGGCGGCCGCTGCTGGTGACGCTGCTGGCGCACCGCGCCTCGTGGCGCACGCTGCACCACTGCCTCACCACGCTGCTGCAGCCGCACCACGACAGGTACGCCTCCTCGCTCCAACAGCACAACACCTTCGTCTTAGAACACCAGAGATATTTTGCATTCTTTTATTGTAATTTCGACCTTATTATAGCTACAGCCAAGATACAAATTTAGTTCAAAACTATACTCAGGGCTAAAACATATTTTCTATGTAGGTATATTTGATAACAAATATCTTGCAAAGAGTTGAAACGGACTGCACGGATGGCGTAGTGGTTTAAGCGGTCGCCACGCAGCTTCCTACTACGCCGAGTATTGTGGGTTCGATCCCCACATGGGACGATACTTTGTGTGATCCACAACTTGTTATTCTGAGTCTGGGTGTTCTTTGTTTCCGTTTTACGTATGTTTGTAAAGTCCCCCGCGGCATAGGAATATGTTCCTAATGCGACAGCTGTCTTTTAAAAAAAAACCCTATACCAAGCCGTCTGACTAGCGTGGTATAGTAGGCCAAAACCTCCTTTCTAAGGCGAGGCCTATATCCACAGTGGACTATTAAAGGCTGTTGATTATGATGATCGGAGTAAATCTTTTTGATTTTCCGATACAAGAATAGTTATATTTTACTAACACGAAACCTTATAAGGTTTGTTTTAATATAGATAAATAATCTGAATTAATGTTTAAGACTACTGTTTCGGAATTATGAAAACTGTTATGCAAACTAATCAGCAAGAGAAAGTACATATCTATACTAATATTATAAAGCTGAAGAGTTTGTTTGTTTGAACGCGCTAATCTCAGGAACTACTGGTCCGATTTGAAAAATTCTTTCAGTGTTAGATAGCCCATTTATCGAGGAAGGCTATAGGATATATATCGTCACGCTAAGACCAATAGGAGCGGAGCACCAATGAAGAATGATTCAAAAACGGAGAAAATTTATTACTATTGAGAGACGCAGACGAAGTTGCGCGGGTCAGCTAGTAAAATATAAAAGTCGAGACTTACTGGCTACTGCGACTTAACCACACGATACAATCAAAAATATTAATATTCTTCACACTGATTTCCTGTCGAAATTTAACTTAATAATAAGGAATATATGCTTTCATATTCCATGATAAATAGTTATCACGGGCCTGTTGTGTCGACAGCCAGTACAACCTGGTCGAAACGTCAGGCAGTCAATAGTATCGACCTGGTACATTTACATATATAATAACTATTATAACTTATTTAGAAATATATAAGTATGTTTATCAGCAGTCTGGTTACCATAGCACAGGCTCTGCCAAGTTTGGGATCAAACTGCCAGGTGTGAGATGTGTGAAGTTTTTTTTTTTGCAATTACAACAAGTGAATGTGAGTATTCTGCTAAACTAGTCGATTTTCAATATTAATAACAAACCACGGAAATATTGGCTTAAAACAAAAAACTTCACCTTAAACGCATAGTTGTAATTTGTATATTTGTGCCGTCTGCAGCAACTGGTCAGCGAGTGCGGTCCTGGATTTCGCCCAAACGTTAGTGGACAGCCCGCGTCTGTGGCAAGGCCGGGACAAGACTACACCAAAGCACTATGTTCCTGATGACACACTGCGTCTCAGCCATCAGCAGGTAACTTTAAACTTAACTTTTATAATGACCCCAGCTTTTCCGCCATTCCCATCACTTGGATAATTGGAACCGATCAACCTGTGAAAGAAATGGTCGTCTGTGGTATTAAGTTAGACCGATGCGATCTCCAAAGTTTACTTTCACTTCGAAGGTCAACAACGCACTTGGAACCCTCGAGTGGTAGGTGTCAATTGATGCAATTCAGGGATCACGAGTAGTGACTTTAAATCGTACATACCATATCCTCAGCTGTCGACCCTGGTGCGGTACGTGAGCTCGGAGGCGCACGAGGCCCAGCGCGGCGGCGGGCTGGAGGCGGCGCGGCGCTGCGCCGACCGGCGCCTGGCGCTGCTGCTGCGCTGCTCGCCGCAGCCCCACCAGCTGCTGGCCCTCGCCGCCGCCGCCGAGCACCACCACCCGCTCCTGCTGCTGCTGCTCTACATGAAGGTGACCTATCGCCCGTCTACACCATGTATTCGAGATTACAGTGACGGGAAAAAACTGAACACAAAGGGTTGAGATGACATCTTACGCACAGGCCATATCCGGTTTAATCTTGTCTTAAATCTAAACAAAATGTTTGTTCTAAGTTTAGGTGTTCTCTGTGTCCGTTTGTAAAGTCCTCCAAGGCACACGATATATTCCTAGTGTGGAAGTTGTCTTTTTAGAAAGGAAAATTAATCCGACTTTATTTTTTGTAGATACGCTAAAAAAATGTTTATAACTTAAATAATTTCACAACTAAAAACCTCATCAAAAATCAAGTTAATTATATTAATTATTTACATTTTGAACTGATTCTTAAAATAAGCCATATCTAAAATATCATGAATTTAATATGGCGTAGACATACTTTTATCCAAAGTGTAACACTATATGATCCAATACTACATTGTCAACAATGCGTCTCGCCTACTCCATCCCCATAATAAAAAAATAGTCCGTTAAACCATATTCAATTATAGAACTGCACTATACTGCTCTGCAGTTGACTGCATAGATGGCGTAGTGGTTTAAGAGGTAACCACGCGGTTTGCTACTGCGCTGAGTGTTATGGGTTCGATCCCATATACTTTGTATTATCCATAATTGATGCTCTGAGTCTGGATGTACTTTGTGTCCGTTTCATGTATGTTTATAAAGTCCCCCGCGATATATGTAGAATATATTCCTATTGCGCGAGTTGTCTTTCTAAGTAAAAAAATAAAAAATTGATAATATCTTAACATAAGATGCTCAGTTGGAATGTATACGCTTACGTACGAATCAATAACTAGAAAAGTTATTGTTTTTACCTATTTTTCAACCACCAATGACACTAAAATGTACCACAGCGAACCGTGACAGGGTACTGCTAGTAATATATAAATATATCAAGCATGTTGGTCTAGTGGCTAGTGACCCTGACTCCTAAACCGGAGGTCGTGGGTTTGATTCCCACCAGGAGAAATATTTGTGTGATGAGCACGATCGTTTGTTCTGTGTCTGGGTGTAATTTATCTATAACTAGCTGACCCTGCAAACGTTGTTTTGCTATTTACATTATTTAATTTTTTTTCTTTTGAATTTCTTAAAATCCGTTCTTAGCTGACCTCTACTCGGTGAAAAGAATATTCCTACCAAATTTCAAGTCTTTATCTCTAATGGTTCCAGAGATATCGCGATGAGTGACTATATACGTGGTAATCTCTTATATGTATATATATATGTATGTATTTAGAAATATATAAGTATGTTTATCAGCAGTCTGGTTACCATAGTACATGCTCTGTCTAGTTTGGGATCAGACAGCCGTGTTTCAGATGTGTGAGGTTATTATTATTATTATATTAATTTTTCAATACAAATATTTTATGTAACAGATACCAAAGATCCTGCCTCTTCTTCTGCAAAGCGGCCAACGTCACCGACACGACAGTCCACTCCCATTACAGGAAGATTTAAAGCATGCAGCATCCCGCAGTACCAGCGCCACAGATCCAGTGTCACATTCTTTACTGATAGCTATCGCAGCTGCCCCGCAGTATCCACAGAACAAGGACCAATCTCACAAGTAAGACCGCATGTCAAGACTTGTTTGTTGCTCTAGTGGTTAGTGACCCTGACTGCTTCGCCAGAGGTCGTGGATTCGACTCCCACCCAGATCAAATAATTGTGCGTTAAGCATGGTCATTTGTTCTGTGTCTGGCTGTACTTTATCTTTAATATATATGTAGTTGGAAATATATTAATGTGTTTACTTGCAGTCTGGTTCCCATAGTACAGGCTCTGCCTAATTTGGAGATATAATGGCAGCCTGATTGTATTAAGATGCAATCGTGCCGCCACGCCGCTATTGAGGGGGGGAAGTGTGTTCCTCTTGGATAGGACCTGATTAGGCATGGTGTCAATTCGGGGAGGACCTGAAATAACATGGTCCGGATCCTCCCGGAGTAGACCTGAGGCCGGCCGTCGGGGTGGTTTTTAGTGGAATCACCACATACTCCTGCCTCATGAATCCCTGAGGAGCAGGAGATCCGAAGGGATTTTCCACCGCGTCAACAAAAAAAAAAGCTCTGCCTAGTTTGAGATCAGACGGCCGAGGGTGAGATGTTCAAAAATATTATTTATTTATTTTAATAACAGTATTTAAATCATATTGTTGCAGCAAACAAGAGATTAAAGAACAACGAGAACTACTCACGACAAGGTAAGCAAACATTTACGAACTAAATAAGGAGTAACAGACCAAATCTGCACAGATGGCGTAGTGATTTCAGCGGTCTACTCGCAGCTTCCTACTTGGGTTCGATCCCCTCATGGGACAACACTGCATGATCTACAAATTGTTGTTCTGAGTCTAGGTGTTCTTTGTGGTCGTTTCATGTATGTTTGTAAAGTCCCCTGAGGATATATTCCTAATGCGGGAGTTGTTATTTTAAAAAGAGACAAATTTTAACTCCATTTACCAAAATTAGGTAATAAATTTTGATTGATTATTATAATTTGTATGTATGTATGTAGATTATCTATACTTTTATTAGCTAATGTGACTACTAATAAACCTTTTTAAAATACAAAGTTATTATTCCAAATATTAGCCATTCGGCCATCGCTAAAGTTCCTAAATGTTGCTAAATATTCGGCGAAGAACCTCGCTGAATAATGGGTATTTTTCGTTTATTTATTTTATTTTGTTCAGTAAATGCAACACACATTACAATCAATTAAAACGTAAAACATAAATACATTGTTTAGCTCTGGATCGTAACGTAACTTATACATAAACTAACACAATACTTAATTTATACAAAAATTATCTCTGGTTCATAAATACTGTAAGTAATATGACAATAAGTAACAAAGAAAGCAACCAGCTAATGCAAACCCAACTCGCTATAGAGGATGTTTTTTACCTTTAGGACGTTCTGTAAAAAGTTAATAATTAATTAACTTAATTTATTGTTTTAGCAAAATATTGAGATAACTTACAGGTTATTTAATATCACGCTATGACTCTTAGGTACGGAGCAGTAACCATAATGCGAATGCAACAAATGAGTTTTATATTCGCAGAGTGTGGCGCATGGAAGCAGATCTCCGGGGAGTGTGGGGCCGAGTGTCGGGCTCTGGCACTCGCGCGCTGGGCCTGGCCGCAGCCCTACTGAGGGGTGCTACGCCCCCCGCCACCAAGCACCAGACGCACCTGCTCGCAGCCATCGAGGTGTTGCCGGATCATGAGCTGTTTGCCAATGAGACCATGTACGTATAACATATATCAAAGCTATATAATTGTTAATCGAAGCTCTGTTTAGTTTGAAACTCGATGGCGTTGTGTGTCAGATGTTCGAAATGTTATTTATATTATTTACTAATAGTAGGTACGTAATGCAGATTTTATTAATTAATGATGCAGATTTTATTAATGATTTTATTTTTTATTTTCTGCAAAGAGAAGGAAAACTTGAAACAAACCCTTTTTTTTTTTTTTTTAACGTGTGGAGATCCCCTCTGACCGTCACCCCACCGGGGTTTGCGGCGGGGTGGTGTGTCGGACTCGGACCGACTAAAACCACACGGTGTGTCACTCTGCGCCTGTAACAGGAGGGATCCGGGAACAGCTGTTGTTAAGACATCCGGACCCCTCCTAGCGCCAGCCCGCTCCTAGTGCGGGCTCCGTCTCAAAATTTTCCTCTCTTTAGGCGACGTCCGGCACACGCGCACGCCACCTCCGTCGACACGGTGCGGTAACCGCGTATGGCTCTGACCGCCATTACCCTCTGAGGGCGCCAGAGGCGTGCCCTATTCTGGGCGGTCAGAGCCGCTGCCCACACCGGTGCACCGTATAGTGTACCGTTCTTACTAGCTGAGTCCCGCGGTGTTACCCGCGTTTGTTGTTATAACCGCGGGCAACGCCGCGGGGCGAAGCTAGTCCAAAAAATGTAGCCTAAGTTACTCCTTATGTCATCAGCTATCTGCCAGTGAAAGTTTCGTCGAAATCGGTCCAGCCGTTCAAGAGATTATCCGGAACAGACAGACAGACAGACAAAAATGGTAAAAAATGTTATTTTAGCATATGTACCGTGTTTTACAAACAGACACTCCAATTTTATTTATTGGAACGAAGTTTCTTATCGCGCGTTGTGAAAGGGGGCTAGACGGAAAAAATTCATACAAAAATTTGGGACGCGACACTTTTTTATTAATATAAATTGACGTCTAACTGTGGATACCATACATTAAATTTGCTTTAACGTTCGCCAACGTCCATACCATGTTGAATACACCGGTTCTCGTCCGATCACCGAAGTTAAGCAACATCGGGCGTGGTTAGTACTTGGATGGGTGACCGCCTGGGAATACCACGTGATGTTGGCTTTTTGCTCTTTATTTAATTTTTTACCGCAGGTTTTTTTTTTTTGGTGTATTTCGTATTTTGTTTTCGTATTTTATTTTTCTTTGAATTTGAATTGTATAGTTTTTTTTTTGTGTAAGTATGTAAATGAGTGTATAGTGTAGGCTTGTAATGTTAATTCATATTTTATTATCTTTCTGGTGGTTTTGAGTGTTTCCACGGCCTACCCAAATGTCAACATTATATTTTTTGCTTGAAATTTTGAATTTAGGAAATAAAACTAAGTAAATATATTTCAAAACACTTTAATGATCAAAAGAAGTTGATGCTATGTACACTATTACCCAGATTTCAGTCAAAGTTTTTTTTAAATTAAAGTAAATCTTATTATAACATACAACGTAAGCCATGAATTTGATGAAAGTATGAACTATGATTAGTAATAATATTTTTTCGTGTTATCTTGTCAGGCATTCAGCGCCATCTATCGAATAGATAGGAAATCATTTCGCAAGGAGATTTTACCAATGTATAAATTGTTTTAATTGTTTTTAACATGTAGGTAATAGCCGCTTTCATAGATGGCGTTGTAATTAATATCGTGTCAAATCAGTTTTAACTTTAAACAACTTCGTTCCTATCGGGTGTCCCACAACACCACACGGCTTTTTTTGTATAGATATGTGATTTATTGCGATTTAATTCATCGTTATCAACAGCCTTTAATAGTCTACGTCTGGACATAGGCCTCTCCTTAGAAAGGAGGTTTTGGCCTACTATACCACGCTGGCCAGACGGGTTGTGTAAAGTATTCCTTCTCTTTGCAGTGTTTGCTCCCTTAGGCTACTCACGGGATGAATAGGTGTGGTGACAGTCCGTATTTTTCATCCGTCATTTTGTCGGAAAGTGGATTAAAAATGTTAACCGTTCCCAGGACGGAGATCCACAGCATCCTGGAGTGCCTGCTGAGCAGCGCGCGGGGCGAGGTCGGGGCGGGGTGCTCGCTGCACCGCGTGGGCGCGCTGCTGCGGCGCTACCTGGCCACGCGCCCGCAGCCCGCCGCCGCGCTGCTGCACGCGCACAGGGACACCATTGCGTACGTTATTTATTTGTTATCAGCCGCAGGTATCTGGGGGCCTCACATCCATTGGTGAAGATTTCGGTTTGTGCAACGCGCAATCGATCGAAATAAACTCACACTAGGCTCTCTGAATTGGTGACCGTGTTAACAATATTTGTGTGTATATTCGGTATTTCTTTTATGACTAATCACTCCAACTTGTCTATGCTCAAAAGTAGACATGTAAAAAAAATATAATTCTTTCACGTTCATTATTTTTCTTCGTAAACTAGGTTTTACTCATAAATAATAATAATTAAAAAAAAAATTATACATAACAGACGCATATCAGCTAAGAAGATTTATTGCTTTTTAGGTTTCCTTACCTCAAAAGGTAAAAAAGGAACCCTTATAAGATCACTTTCTTGTCCGTCTGTCCGTGTGTAACCACCGATTTTCTCAGGAAGACCTAGCAAATTGAAATTTATACCACATACTGAGGTCTATGGTCCCCATTAGGTGTATAAAAATCAACGCCCTAAGAAAAAGATATGGGCAAATTTCGATTTTCACGAAAACTTGTGAGTACCAAAATTTATCTTAATTTTCACCTTTTTTATTTTTCAGAATTTTCTCTTTACTTGTGCTGTAAGACCTTATTTTTAACCAAAATTGAATATTCTAGGTCAACCGGAAGTACCCTATAGATTTTGGGTCGAAAATCTATATGGTAGTTCCCGTTGACCTAGAATCACGAAATTTGGCAAAAAAAAAACGTCTTACAGCACAAATAAAGGAATAATCCCAAAAAAGTTGAAAACTAAGATAAATTTTGGTTCTTACAAATTTTCGCAAAAATCTGGGTAGGTACGGAACCCTCGGCGCATGAGTTCGACTCGTACCTGACCAATTTTTTTTTATGGAAGAGGGGTAAACGAGTAGACGCGTCACCTAATGGAAAGTGATTACCGCCACCCATGAACGCACGCTTACTTTAATTGATAAAAGAAAGAGATGGGTTAGGAATTACTAAGTGAGGATATATTATTATATCTCGTGTCTCCCCCAGGTCGATCCCAGCGCTGAGCTCGCTGCAGTCGGGCGAGGTGAGCGCGCCCGCGTCGGCCGCCCCCCCGCCGCACCCGCTGCTGGTGCTGCAGCGCAGGACCGAGTCGCCTGAAAACTTGCACTATATGCTGCAGGTGACCTACTGCTCGCTCTTTCATTTAACCTTTCAGAGACCGATAGGCCTCGATGAGCACATGATCATCAGTACTTCACATCACATCAATAGCCTTTAATAGTCCACTGCTGGACATAGGCCTCTCCTTAGAAAGGAGGTTTTGGCCTACTATAGTTAAACCGCCGTAAGCTTGGCCCTCCTGATGGTTTGCGGGACGCGGGGCGGGTGATGCGCTCGGCTATACATGACACGATGTACTAACTCGATATCTTCAGATTTATTTGTTTGAGATTTAATCTACACACGATGTAATAAAAATCGATTTTATTTCCATGTATTATAATGTCAGTGTATTGTAAGTTTTTATGATTAATTGTAAAATTTAATACTGTAAAATAATTTTAATAAAACCACCTTATCTTCATCGTGTAAATTATATTCAGATACAATTTAAAAATTAAGTAAAATAATAAATATTCTTTATTAGAACTTTAACAGTAGAACCTCTGTAAGCCGAACTTCAAGTTTTTAAATCTTTTTGTGACCCAGAGTCGGCAGATTATCCATGTTGCAAAATAATACCGTGTGTAGCAGTCTTAAAAAATATAACACGTACAGCCACGCTTTCACGTCAGTCACTGCCGGCGGACAGCGACGCACTAGCTAATTGGTTGAATGCACCCCCGCCCCGCGTCCCCCAAACCATCAGGAGGGCCAAGCTTACGGCGGTTTAACTGTATACCACGCTGGCCAGACGGGTTAGTTTTAAATTTTCCTTCTTTTTGTCGTACTCTTATTTGTCCTAGATAAAAATCGAGCAATGGACTGCTAAGGGCTGTTCATGACTACGATAATTTGTTCTGGATGTACTTTATTAATACATGTATTTATTTAGAAATATATAAGTATGTCTATTAGCAGTCTGGTTACCTTAGCACAGGCTATGATTAGTTATTAGTGTATTAGACAGCCGCGAGGGGGCGGCGTCCGCGTGTGCCGGACGTCGCCTAAAGAGAGGAAAATTTTGAGACGGAGCCCGCACCAGGAGCGGGCTGGCGTTAGGAGGGGTCCGGATGTCTTAATAACAGCTGTTCCCGGATCCCTCCTGTTACAGGCGCAGAGTGGCACACCGTGTGGTTTTAGTCGGTCCGAGTCCGACACACCACCCCGCCGCAAACCCCGGTGGGTGACGGTCCGAGGGGATTTCCACACGTTAAAAAAAAAAAAAGGCTATGATTAGTTTGATGGCTGCGTGTTTGGTGTGAGGTTAATATTATTCTATTCTGTCTGTTTAATATTCTTTTTTGTATAAGCCGTTTTCTACGAAGCATATGTTGTTATATGGACATCGTAACGAATACTGGAATAGTGTATGCAGATCATCATTTTGAGTTTATCATCATCATTATCAATCATTGGAATTTCTTGTTGGAAAATTAAATGTTTTATGCAATGAGGTGCCAAATGTTAAAGTAATTTCCCATATGTATCGCACAAAAGTAATAACTACATTTGTATTCCGTGTAAACAGTCTACGCACACTAACACAAGTTGGTGGTCGTGGTGAGGCCCCTCGCGCTTCGGCTGTTTGTTTAATTACATTGATTGATTTTCGCCTCGGAATGGCGGTCTGAATACACTATTTCAGTATTCGTTGCGACGTCCCTTACACCCTGTATAATAACAAGCTCACACACGACACAAGTTAAGGTACGCGAGGTCGTGTCGGGCCGTAACACAGTGGTCGATCGGTGCAGGAGATCGAGTCGTGGGGCAGTCGGCGCGGCGGCGCGTGGGGGGGCCGCGCGGCTGCGGACGCGCTGGTGCGCGCCGTGGGCCCGCTGTGCGCCTCGCCGCACGCGCCGCTCCGCACCTCGGCGCTGGCGCTCCTCGCCAAGCTGCTGCCTGCCGTGCCTCACACCCGCCCCGGTAAGCACCACCGCTCCTCCTACTCACACCCCTATACCTTCCTCATCAGCCCATCTTACGTTATAACATTTTGTTTATCGACTTACAGGGGATACCCTTTTGACACACTGTCTAATTTTAACATATGCATACATTTAAAAAAAGACCTCTTTGATTTATTTCAGCGTTTTTTCCCATAGTCCATTTTAGGAAATTCTGGCTCCGTCTAGCTCCGACTTGCAAAAATATCTGAAAAGAGTTACTTACAGAAATAAATATCATTTCATTTCACAATCACATGATTGATCATCATCGACCTATCGCCGTTTATGTACTACCTAACGAGGGTCTCCCCCTCGAAGCCGTTAACTATTCCGATCTTGACCGATCCGCATCCTTACATCGGTATTGTATTAACCCTACCGTAACATAAAGTCTCACCGCCGTATCCACCTCCTAAAAGCTGAAGAGGGACGAAACTGAATCCCCTAAAAAAATCCTTACTTATATATCGTCTAATACAAAAATTCCAATCAAATTAACAGGTCTACAAGCCGTCTTAGAATGTCTAGACTCCAACCTGCCCGAGGTCACCCAGTCCGTTCTCGACAAGTTGCCCGACCTGATCATCGGAATGCAGGAGCACGCGGCCAAGATCCTGATGAAGGTCTTCGAGCTCGGCATGAAGTCTCGTCACCCGGTGGAATCGTGCATAGCTAAATGCGTCACTATGATTAACTTACATCGAGGATGCTAATTGGAATTTAAATACCTGGAGATCAGTGACGTCATACACCATTAAATATTTTTTGTAGAATGTAAACCTTAAGACTATGATCATCATCATCAACAGCCTATGATAGTCCACTGCTGGACATAGGCCTCTCCTTAGAAAGGAGGTTTTGGCCTACTATACCACGCTGGCCAGACGGGTTGGTACAGGGTTTATTTCAAGTTTTCCTTCTCTTTGCAGTGCTGTCGTCTTGTAGTTTTCTCCCTTAGTCGACTTTTACGACACCCACGGGATGAATGGGGGTGGTGACATTACGTATTCTTAATCCGTCACCACACGGATGGACAATATCAGGCAATATATAAAACAATATCAGGGTAATATCTCAGAACTTTAATATTAATACACTAATGTGGTTAACACGTACCCCAACACTTTGGTCAAATGTATATTTTCGAAACAACTGAATAAATTCTCCCCAAACCGCAAAGAAACATCCAATTATAAATTTTCTAAATCATCTGTGTTATATATCAGATATAGACCAACTTTCGAGGTCAAATGACTCACTGACAGACAACAATTCTTATTTCGTGTTATAAATTAAGAATAAAATGAAATTATTCTGCATTATATTAAGAATTTTGAAAATTAATAAAAAGGTATTGTTTAATATTTGTGGCGTGGTCGCAGTTGTGACAGGTTTTATCTTTGTTACTAGAAAAGTAACAAAAGCCCTTAAAAAGAGATGACTACGTATTAAATATTGAGATATTTTTGCTGACAATTTTCTTTGAACAAATTAGTGCTCAAAGCGAGCTCAAAATGCATCTTAAATATTTCGTTCATAAAATAAAAGTACATGATCTCAGTTCTATTTTAATATGTGATGTCATTTCTTTCGTTCTGCTATCGATTAAAGTGATTTTGTGAAGAGGGACGGAAGTGTGTGAAATCTCGATCTCGCAACTGTCATAAAAGCTATTTTTTTTGTGACATTGTGACCGAAATTTTATTACGAGAATTAACCTTTTGATGTTACAAATCATATGCTACTACTAAGTTAAGGTTAACTTTTTTTTTAATTCAAAAATACTTTTGACTTCAAAATCCCTTCAACGATAAGAAGAGCTGATGATCTTCGAGCGACTGAGTAGATTTTAGACCTAAAACTTACGGTCATGTCAACTTTGGGGGTTAAAAATACCCTTACAGGTTTGTACTCTTCATATTTAAGGTAAATTTAAAATAAGACTAGTTATACAATAGAAATTATTGTGATAAGGAATGTAAATATAGAAAATGTACCAATAAAACTAAGTTGTACATGTAAATATGCAGTTTATTATAAATATAATACTTTAACAACAATATTTCATCCTTAAATATCTGTTAGGACATGAAAATTCGTTTTAAATAAAACCTATACTGTTGTATAGGGACCTTTTTTCGGTCATCTGACACAACGCCATCTAGATTCAAACTAAACAGAGCTGTACCATAATTACTTTTTTTTAAAGACAACTCCCGCATTAGGAATATATCCTGTGTTGCGGGGACCTTACAAACATATATGAAACAAATACGAAACCAAACGGTCTATGAAAGTTAATTGACTGATAAAATACTTATGTATTTTTACATAAATAGGTATTAATTTATGGATGACCTAAAGATATAAGTAATTAATTAATCATGTTATATATCTGTTAAGTATTATTTCATTAATTGTATCTATAACTCAGTGTGGTTATTAATTACATAACTTCCCAAATAAGTCATGGGCAATTAAAAATATCAAACAAAAAATATATTCATGTAAAATAAAATAATATTACTCTACAACAAAAATAAATAATTTATTCGCAACCTAAGCACATACCCGCAGCAAAGCAATACAGTCCAACCACACTGGTGATGAAAAACATCACCACATTAATCACTAATCACATAACTTCACCAGTCATTGCTCCCGAGATCTGTGAACATCTTATCTTTTATCTTTGGCCTGGGGTCTTCTGTAATTTTCGTATCCACGGCACCCACTTTTCCCAGAATATATTCGAATTCTGTAAAAAAAAAATGGAATGACACAAATTATAAAATGAAGAAGCAGTCAATTACATGTACTAATTAAACCTAATTAATCTAAACTTATTTTTTTATAGTAGAGCCAACATTCTTAGTCCCCCCTTCCCCCCCCCAGGGTAAATGTGAGGGGGGTGAGGTTTGCTACTCTGGTAACCTCACTCAGTCAGTGAAAAGCACCGAAAGTGTGCTGGATTGTTGTATTTGAAAAAAAAACTTCCTATCCAGACAATTGGAAGCTTTTTCATGTAATAATGATATGCTTACTAATTGAAAAGAGAAGAGGTTGCTCAGAGGCTGAGCTCATAGTCCACCTTTTACCAGAATATCACGCGCCAATATATACGTAAATGATATTTATTTCTATAAGTAAAAGGACTTGACAGCTAGAAGGTGCCCGCATTTCCTGAGACTCACTCTGGGAAGAAACGCCTAAACAAACAACAGAAGAGTCTTTTGTTTTTGTCCGTGAGCAACGTTAAAGAGAACTATGTGATAGCAGTATAGGATCTGGGTTATCCTTTGACGAAAGGACCATTGTTTTGAGTCAGCCTGTCCATACAGACGGCATATGGGCCAAAATCATCATGTAGCATAACCGTAAAATAATAATATACTACATGCCTTCAACAGTCAGCGAGGTTCCTCTAAGCTCAAGTGGTCCAACAAACTGCTTCTTCATATCACCTTCAAAGTACACAAATATGCTCGGTAGATTCTTCTCCGGGAAGTTGGGGATGCATGTCTGCGCTACGGCCTTCAGAAACTTGGTGTAAGGGAATTTCTCTGCTAACTGACGCAGATATTGATTTATGAGGGCGCATTGCTGGATGCTGTAAGAATAAAATATATATGAGAATAAAGAAAAAGAGATGAACTTTTTCTACTGTTCATCTCTTCAGGACCACGAGAACACTTCTAGATGATACATTAGTGTCAAAATTACAAAACTTTCAGTACATAGTACATGGATATAACAATTCAGCATAAACAGATAGCTCTTAAAAAAAAAATTAGGATAATTATTCGGAATTAGGAAAATATATCCTGTGTTGTGGGGGACTTCACAACCACACATAAAACAAACACCCAGACTCAAAACAATCATTTGTGGATCACACTAAATGGTGTCCCATGTGGGGATCGAACCCACAACACTCAGCCCAGTAGGAAGCGGTGTGGCAACCGCTTAAACCACTATGCCATCCGTGCAATACTATTATCTATCTATTAAAATAAATATCAATGATTATATGTTTGCTCTCTATGCATTCCAAAACCATTGATCAGATTGTGTTGAAACTTTTGGTAGTGTTCTAGAGATGCCTGCGAGGATTGCTGTCCCAAAATTCTATGTATTAATGAAAAGAATACTGTTAACAGCTAGTTAATAATGAATCTCACCCTTGCTTGTAAAGATGTATGACCACCCAAATGCCCTCTCCTGCCTTGTTGACCTCCTGCACATAATCCTGACCTGACACCTCCCTAACATCTCCAAACTTTGGCTTTTCTGCGAGTCTCTTCAGTTCAGCTATCCGCTTTCTTCTGTATTCTTCAAGGACGGCTTCATCCTCTGAATCTTCAAGCTCATCAAGACCATCTAGGTCTAGCTCTGATAGTTGCTTATCCTCTGGAAAATATATCTCAAATGTCATCAATAATTCAGAGGGAATTAAATATTTTTAAAGGTCTGTTTTTTTTTATGCTAGCTGCTCCCTGATGTTTCACCAGCTTTTTGATTACTGCTCAGCGCTTAATTAAATGTTACGTAAAATCATTTCCTTTTTTATTAATATGATGTTATTATAATTTTCGTAATATCTTACTAGTTGGCTAAATATCTGTTTGAATGTGTGTATAGATGTTAGCTCACACATGATTAATATCCATACTAATATTATAAATGAGGAAGTGTGTCTGTCTATCTGTCTGTTATGTGAGATTTGGTATAGAGATAGTCCGAGTCCCAGGAAAGGACATAGTGTAGTTTTTATTCCAATAATCATCCTTTAAGGGGGTTAAACCAATTCAGATGAAATGAGGATACTTTGATTCTTGAAAAACGATATAGGCTACTTTTTACCCCGATAACCAACATATACGCGGACGGAGCAGAGGGCAAAAACTATGTAATTACAAACACAATTCACTAACAAGAGAGTGAGAGTAATAAAGTAGTATCTGAACACACAACAGTAATTTTACTAGGCTCCGATAACATAAGTGGCAAAAAACCATCAACCCAGTTTTGGGGGACTAATAATGTAATGTCATGTTCAAAAAATAAAGTTGAATATTAATAAATAAAAAATTTGGAAATGTACACCTTTCGAGATAAAGATGTGTGTAAAAAATGAACAAAAACCTTTACACTTCTTAAAACAAAAAAGAAAATTTTATTGTTATGTATATAATATATAATATTTAGATATTTCGTACTTTTATTTTAGTTGTGTACTGTTATGTGTTATTTATTCTTTGTGCAGATGAAGCAGTCTTTTGAAACCCTGATTTCTTTATTACACTAGCAATGATGATAAGTAAAGCTGTCGGAAAGCGTTTTTATTAGAAACTTTTTGCAGCTAGATTTTTGTTATTTACATTGGCCACAGACAATGTATCATCTTTACTTTTTATTTTATTGCTGTAAAAGTACATTTCACATTGAACCTAAAAATATTTTTCTGTAGTGTAACTATATTTAATTTCTTCTTATCATGTTTAAATGTTTAGATAATTCCGTTAAACTTGAGAAACTTGCACATGTAATAAGAATGAGTTCACTGAAGCAGAACAGTTTTAGTTACATTTGTGAAACAAGAAACAAATTTAGAACATAGTATGTTCTAAATTCAATAATATTTAATAAAAACTCTATTATCATTACTTCTTGGAAAGTTATTAGTCTCTATACTCATTTTTTTATAATTAAGGCAACAGGTGTTATCATAACCTAAAAATCATAGTATTTATACTAACTTTCATTCTGTTTTTGTTGGATAGTCTGTTCTATCATGTCAACAATATCATTTTCTGATATTTCTTTTTCCTTTTTAGGCAGAATACCTTTGGCACGAAGGATATCATTCCATTCTGTATCCTCATTAGGGTTCTATAAATAAATACACAAGACAGAATTAAAACACGAATATCTCTTCCAATTAGTACTTGTATGTCGTATGAATGTGGTTTACCTGCATTCTGTATTTGAAAAAATAATAGTTTATGTTAGTTATATTATAAAATACAATAAATTATTTATTCGAAATTTGATATCAGCTATCAGATGACTCACTTGTCAAATTCAATGACAAATTCAAATTCAATGACAAATATGGCAGCTCATAAGTCAGTGTCATCTGAAATGCTGAACATGTGAACATTACTAGGTAAATATCTTAAAACTAAAGATAGGAAGGTATAAATGGAATTTATCATTATTGTCAATTTTACCCGACGGCAGGTTTTGATAAAACAACAAATTAACTTGTTTGTTATAATATCATCCGCCATCATTATCTCTAATGTCCACAATTTTAACGTTAAATGGTCACGACACAGTTGGTAAATTTTAATTTAGGTAGTTTTTAGTTCATGAATGAATAACATTATACTAATTTTAAAAGAAACAATCTTTTGGGGATATTTTTAAAGTGTTTTTGTGTAGTAGCTATTTCTTATCTGTGGTAAAAGCCATAGATAATACACTAATATAAGTTAGTAAAAGCAGTCAGCTTATGTCACCCAGTCACTGAACGTGTAAATTATTTACCATAACAGAACGGCCACAGTTGTGGTTTTGACTATCGAATAATAAAGTAAAAAATAAGTTAATGTCAAGTAGTAACATCGTCTATAATATAATTTTAAAAGATCATCATGAACCGAGACAAACGAGAACCGGAGTATCCTACGGAGTTAGAGACTCAGTTTATTTTAAGGCTACCAGAAGAACCAGCTAAAGTTCTCCGAGAAGTACTGAAATCTGGGGAGAACCTGAAAAACCGACTGACGATACAGATAGAAAACGACATGCGACAAGGCGAGGTACGGTTCGACCATTGGTTAATGCACGCCAAGATCTTCGACCTCCCCACCATCATAGAGTCATTAAAAACAATTGACAATAAAAGCTTTTATAAGACAGCCGACATATGCCAAATGATGATATGCAAAGAGGAACCGGACCAACCATCTACAGAAGAGGAATCGCCAGCAAAAAACAAGAAGAAAGATCCATATAAGGTCGATAAAAAGTTTCTATGGCCTCACGGCATCACCCCTCCAACTAAGAATATACGCAAGCGCCGGTTCAGGAAAACTTTAAAGAAAAAGTATGTAGAAGCTCCAGAAATCGAAAAAGAAGTTAAGAGATTACTGAGGGCTGATAATGAAGCTGTGAGTGTTACATTCGAAGTTATACAAGAGGAAGAAGACCATCCTAAAACAGAACAGAGTGCGCCAGAAAAAGTTAAGCCTGAGAAGAAAATGAAAGCTGAACGCAATCCTAAAAGAGAAAGAGAAGTTGTGTCCCATGCGAGTGCGTCAAACACAGAATCATCCAATGTTGTTGATATATTTGGAGGAAATGTCAGTGATTCTGACTTAGAAGATGACAATATCAATGTTGAGATGGAGGATAGTAGAATGTCAGCGTATGACAGCCGTCTCTCTGACACAAACTCTATGCATGGAGAAGGATCATCTAAGAGAGATGCAATGCCTACTCAGTTTAAGTCACACATGTTCCAATCACCTCAGGACATGCCAAAGTCATTTGCCGGTCACAGCCGAGCAACTACACCAGCTGCCTCTGGAATGTCTAAAAGTGGAGGTTTGTCTTCTGAAGATGACGGAGACTATCAACCAAGAGATATGTCTAAAGATAACATGTCATTAAGGATCGAACAACTCAGGGCTGGGCTTGAGGAGCTGAAACAGCGAAGGCAGAGGACTCAGCATGAGATTGCAGGGATGGAAAACCTGGCGTTGCGACAGAGATTCCAAGACATCCTGCATACTTTGAATCAGGACATAATGTACAAAGAGATGGAGTATCAAGGTCTAATAACTCTACAAAATTCTGAAGATATATAGTATTAAGCATTAAACTGTGTAGGAAGATAGAGGTGGCCTCTACACGGTGCACAGTTTTACAATACCAAATAATCATTTTGACTTTGTAAAAAACAAGTAATGTAAATAAAAAATATAAATACATATATAGTAAAGATTAAATTATGAGGTACAGATAGACTGTCTGCCAACAATTAGTATCTGCCTTCTTTATAGTGGAAATACTAATAGAGTTCAATGCTGGGCGTTTCCAGCATTCTTTTGTAAAGAGTAAGGTGACTTTTTATGAGCCTTTACTTCTATAGACAACAAATACATCTGTTTTTCTTTTTTTTATTGTATACCCTAAAAATATTGTGGAACTGGATTAGATAGCATGTGTATGAAAAGTATAAGTAACAAGTTACATAGTTAAAGGTAATACATTTTTTGCACTTCTAAATTATATTTGAATGATGCTATGCAGAAACTTTACAATATGACTATACAGTGTCATATGTATGATCATTTGATTAAGATATCAACTACACATTTATTCATTAGCTTTAATTATACCACACACAGCTCTACATTACCCAGAGGTTCACTGCAAGAAAGTGCCTATGGCATTATGTCTGCTTTATGCAGTGTATTTACGAAAAGTAGTAAATGATATATAAATAAATAAACAGTTCATATTAAAATTGAGTGCATTTATTTATTAAGAAAAACAATTACAATTTATGTAACTGTGGTCAACAATAATTGTTTAATCATTATAACTAAGGAGATTTATTCAAGAAAGAAAAGAAAATGAGATGTAGTTTTGACTAGTTGGATTGGATCATTTCTACATAACGCTGTCCAGTTTAAGGAGGGAGTATTAAGTACAGTACAATTACTCACTATTCGTATATATTCAGTATTAGTTTCTGTTATAAATACCTGTGATTATCCTAATACATTTTTATTCATTTTGTGATGCTGGGATTAAAAAAATTAATGCACAAAATGTAATGTTATGTTACGCGCAAAACAGAAATATTATTTTATGTAATCGTAAGTTAACTAACATTATATACATTATATACATACTTCATTGAAGCTTATTAAAGGCCCAAATTTGCCGGCCAACAATTGAATTACAATCAATTAATGAAAATACAATCATCCTAATAATACATACAATGTTCATTACGAATACTAGGTGATAATAGTACCTTGCCACTAAATCTTCAAGGATAAATTCAAGAATTAACATAAAACTAGAAACTTTATGACCGACCAAATGCATGAAAGCAGGCTGCGATGGTACAGTCACATAAAAAGGTGGCCGCCTGACTGAATTGGCAACTCAGCGCTGCAAATTATCGATTCCCAGTCGAAGATCCAGATGCAGACAAACATGAAAGGCTGTTAGGTTTCCAAAGACGACTTCTGGGGTCGATTTTGTATCAGGTATGGTAGTTGCCCGTTGTGTGGCCACTCCCTTGCATTCCAGGATGACTTATTTGCGGCTACATTACCGTGTGAATTACTGTGCCATTTAATCCTTAGAGGAGTACCCCATTTGTTGTGGCAAGCTGCTCCAATGCTTGATGGAATTCGAAGACTATACTTGAAGTCATTGTGTTGCCCCCCCCCCCAGTGCCTTTAGAACAGCCATGCTGTCTGACAGTATTTGGATGTTATAGTCCTTAATGCCCTTTCACATTCCGCGGCGGTTGTGGCGGCGTAAGTTATTGCCACACATTCGCATTAGAATATGGAACTGTGTTGGCCTAAGGCTAGTAATATGTTCATGTTTAGGTCTTATGAAAAAACTCCAGTTCCTGACCCAGTTTTGAAACTGTCCGTGTAAATTCGGACTTCGTTTATGTTCGTAAATTGCAGAATGTAAGTTATACCTATACTTGTAATGACTCAATGACATACCCATAAGATGAACATAAATAACATGAACATGATAAACATAAATAACTCAGAGAATTTGTTTTAATACCAAAATGTTTTATAAAAAATACTTGATACTGAAAATACTTGGTTCTAAATACTTAGTTTGTAATGTATTTTGTAACGCAGACGGCACTACCCTACCATCATGAACATTGCAAGAACAATAAATTTCTCGTCTAGTTATTACACCTTACACTTAATAGGCAGTTATTTTTTTATTCATTTTATTCTTAACAAAGAAATCGTAAAGTTGCATATTTTCGTCGTGAAAATAAGTAATCTTTTTAAAAATAAACTGCGTCCCTCTTTGACTTTGACAGAATGACAATATGACACGTCTTTTTTTCACCGTCAAGTTGTCAACTTGCGTCGTGTTGGAAAAATTTTACGTCGCTATGTTCAGTCCAGTCAGAACTCGAAATAAATAAATTGAATATGGCTGAAGTCGAAGGACATAAACATCGAGAAACTAATTACCATGAGGGAGAAGGTAAATTATGTTATGATATTTAATGGTTAGAGCGCGTGGTTAGTGTTTATCGCGAACGTCTGTGCGGAGCGGCTGCATCGCTGTGGCCCGTTACCCTCGTGTTACCTTTGTGACATTGAAATTGGGTTCTTTTTATAATTGCTGCGTGGATTGTGGTGCTGGGCCGCCAGGAGCAAAGCGCGCCGCCCACCTGACGCGTTGAGTGGTACCTTACGACGTTCAACGGACTGTAGTGATCATGACGGGGGGCGCGGACAGGAGCCTCCACTCAGGTATTACATGTTTTTGTTGTAATATTCCAATATAAGCTGAGAATAAGTGCGTTTTCACTAAATATTGTTGTTTATTGCCGCGTCTATAACCTTAAGCGTCTTTTTGAACTTTGTTCTTGCGTTCTGCATTAATTCATTGTGTTTATATCGTATCGTTTGCTACTAGTTGCATACGTTATTCTGCTGAATATTTGAAATATTTCCGTTCTTGGTCACATTTGTCAAGTAAATTACTTAAAATCTTTTATTGTACCAGTCATTTAATAGTAACTTACATTGTAATGTGATAAAATTCAAAAGTTTGCAGTTGCTTCAAGGTTACACTTTGTGAACTTTGTTTTATTAATTAATATTCTACTTTCATAACAGTTGTTAGATGACTATTAAGTTTTATTCTACTCTTACTTAAAACTGTCTTATAACTGTTGTTTTGTCTACTTTTAAATTTGGAACATTTTTGAAATTAATTTAAATTATTTTGTGTATTTGATGTGTTAATACTCTCATTACATTTAAATATGTCATTGTGTTGTGTGAAAAACACATTTATTGCTTCACTTTCTATTCATTTACATTATTGTGAATACCGGGAAGTACATTTTTATGAGTATAATTACTCTATAAACAAATATTTATATTTTTTGCTTCCTTTAACATTTATTTGTTGGTTCTGAACTTGCCCTATAGTATCGTAATATTCATAATGCATATGTCATTACTATATTTATTTATTTATTTGGATCGCCAACAAACGATACACATTTTCACAATAATTAAAAATTATACAGAAACATACCTTGTGTTCATTTTTTGTTATAGGCAATCACTACCAACATAAGTATATTGTCAGACTATCCGTGTTATCATATATCTATAACTTTTTTAAACCTGTGTTTCTTAGTAAACGTTGATATGTATATTGTTACAATATGCAATATTTCTATCAGAATCAAATTACAACTAGGTAATAGGTATGTAACACATATTATGTGCTGCATTGCAAAAACCATTTGGGATTCATTAAATTGATTACACATACATTGTATTACAATGTCTCCTTTCAAAAACTTTCTCCAATAGTTAAAAGTACCACTATAAAGTAATTTTATTGACATACCTACTATACTGAGAACCATTTTTTATTTTTAACTTTATGCACAATATTTGCATCGGTGGACTTAATTCCTAAGGCATTATCTAGCAGTCAATCCTTACTAAAAGACATATTGTCTTTTAGTAAGGATTGACTGGTAGGTGAACCGCCTGCTCGTCTGAATAAAAAAAACGTGCCTAACAACACCATCTAGTTTCAAACTAAGCGGAGCTTTTATTATGACTATGAAAGCTAGATTGATTGATAGAATACTTATATACTTTTTCTTCTTGTAAATATATTATACATAGAAAACACCCAAACTCAAATGTTTGGCTAATTCCAACATAAGATTTTTCTACCGAAAAGAAACACGCAAGCATTACCTGTTATTAAAGCAGTTTTTTTATGCTGTCTCAATCTATTTTAATGACTTGTTGCCAACATTATAAATTAATTTTAGCCAAACTAAAATTCTCGATGAACTACTAAAAAGCTACTCTATTGAAAGCTAATAAGTATTTAAATCTACGAGTCCTTTCGCAACCAACTTTTTTTATGACTTTTTTTATTTTATTGATAGGAAAAGATTTTTTCGTGAGCTTACGTCAATGGATTGAGAAAGACAAGTCTTAGCTTTTTCTAAATAGTGAGTAATAAATTATAATAGAACAAACCACGTCATACAACATTAATATAAAAAAATCTGTGCGTATGTCTTACGCTCGCAAAAATCGAGTGAAAATTCTAAAGTATAAGTAAAAGTATTTTATTCATAGATATTATCACATCAGTGATTGTTTATGTTAGAGGGGGCAGACGAGCAGAAGGGTCACCTCAGGAGTCACAAACGCGTTGCCGGCCTTTTAGGAAGGAGTACGCTCTTTACTTTTGGTTTTTACTGAACATCTATAATATAGCAATAAATTTAACATTTATTTGTTCATAATAGCAACTCTTCAAAAGCTGTTTACCATTCGATTTAACATGTGTTATGTCTTTATTGACTATGGTCCAATCTAGTGCTTATTTCTTCACATTTTATGCTCTAGAAATACAGAAAAATAGCTATCTTTTCTCCTCAAAAGTTCTAAAAGAATGGAAACGTTACTTTTACGCTAGTAAAACCGCGCGAAAAAGCTAATATTTATAAAAACAGACAATGTTAAAATGAGCGTCGTATGAACATTACGTAGGTAGGTGTAAAGTTCAAAACATTGTATGATTTGCATCATCCAGAGGTGAATCATGCAAAGGTCATCATCACCACTGATTGGAAACTAATACCTATTTACGATATGCATTGGTGTTATTTATGAAAATCAATGAAAAAGTTCGTGTCATTGTCTATGGATTTACAATGATAGTTTAAATTAGTTATTCCATCAAAATGTGTTGACCACAGAGTGTTTAAGAAATATTCATAGAAATATACATAGAAATAAACTTGACATTTTTTAAACTTGAAACATGATGATATTTGTGGACAGTCAGTCCAAGAGTGACTTAACCCTTAATTTGGCACGGGTTCCAAGTGTTATATATTATACAAAATTCTTTATGTTTGTATTTCTAGTGTACATAACAACAGGAAAAAAATTAGAAAAAAAATCTACTCCCTTCAGGTTTTCAGGAAACCAATGTTTACTACAGTGAACGTTGCGAAGTATGGTACAAACTACCATTGAATTGCAATGTTTACTGTGATGAACATGATCAAATTAGGTTACAAATAAAATAGCTTTATTATTGTTGAGTGTTTTTAATTATATAGAAAAAGAAAATAAAAATAGACAAAAACAGTGTGAAAAAAAAGAGTTTATGTGGGTATTATTATATTTTAGTATGAAGGTTTAGGAAACAATTACGAGAATTTCTACCTGTGACGAAACACAATCTCATGTTACATTTTAAACAAAAAACAGTGGTGTTTTTCTGGCAAAATTTGCACCTACCCATGTCTTCTTTCATGCTCGGAAAATGACCAATATTGTCATAACGTATTGGGCTTATAGGCCTGGGTAATTTAGGATTTTTTAGTAAACAACTTTCACCCATATTTTCTATATTTACAGGTCTATTCTTTTTGGTCAAACTGAGATAAAGCTCATGTTGAAATATTTTCAATGATTTTTTTTTCTTGTATTTGTTGGGTTTGTCTTTCATGTATTGTTTTCTGCTACCCGCTTTTCACCCCTTATACGGAATCATCATTTCATCTATACTAAATTTTCTTTCTTTTTCTTGCTTCAAACAGTTTTCCCTTATTTTTTCTGCAACAGGCCTTATTTTGTAATATCTATCGGAGTCTTCCAAGGCATTGTCGGCAAAATGGAGAAATCTTCGAATTTGTTGATAACGTTTCAACGTCATTAGGTCTGCTATGGGAGCATACCGGAATCTACCGCTCCAATAGTCGAGGTATGAAGGCAATATTACAATGCCCATAAGGATGTGGATGGCTAAAAAATCTCGTAGCTCATCTTCTATAACTTGTATGGATTTTCCAGTTTGTTGTACGGAATAAAGGCTTGTGTGTTCTGTAATATCAGCTACTATGTCTTGAGAAAAAAATAAATTAAAATAATAAAAAGTATCGTCATTGGATGGTACGGAGGTATCAATTATATCTTCGTAATTTTCTTCAATTGTGGCTCGGTGATGAAAATTGGTGCTTTTTTTCCACTGATATGTGAGGATAAATTTCGGAACCCTTCTTGTTCTCTTGGCAACTGGGGCAATTTGCTTTTGGGCTCTTGTCTTCCTTATAGTTGACGTTTCAAGGGTTAAGGAAGGAGCTACAGATGGAAGAGACAGTATAGAAGATAGTGATGGGATATTTTCGTAATTAGGCTCTCTGGTCGGTGTAGCTGGACATATATCGCGTAAAACTGGACTCAATTGAAGTGCTACGGATGGATATGGTTCGGAATGGTTATCGTCATCATTGTTACTATCTGAAGATTCACAACTGCTCAGTATATGCATGCGCTCTAAAGATGAGTCTAGAGAAGGTGGTGAAGATGAAACTAAGCTTGGGGAATGCAGATCTACCAATTCGTTATCGCTATTTGGGTCTGATTTGTCACTAGTCTCTGAAGGTGCATGCTGCATAGGAATAAGCGCTAATATTTTTGCAGTGCGTCCTTGTATTTTATGCTGTTGGCAACCAAAAACACCAATGTAAGCAAAATGATAGCGGCAACCAGAAACAGATTTTACATTTTTAAATTACTTACTGGATATTTAGCATTGTTCACCGAGATGAACACAACAAATTGCAATTAATTTATAGTGTATTTGACTATGTTCATCACGATGAACATTAAGTTTGTCGTTATCTACAAGTTCGGAGAGCACATGAAAGTACACAGTTTACTCCCAAAATAATAGTGAAAAGTTTAGAGAAATTAGCAAAGGCATTATAACATCTGAAAACATGCATAAATCAAGAAAACAATTTTAATTACCTTACGAAGAACAGACAATCTGCCAGTCGCTGACATTTTGCTTTGTAAGTGACAGTTACATTGTTGCTTGAGACATAACATATTTTTATACTATTAAAAATATTTAAGCACCATGATATAATGATAAAAAAATACGATTTTAGTTAAAAAATATCAGCAAAACATTTTTTTTTTAATATGTTTCTCACAGTAAACATAATCGAATTAAGGGTTAAAGTCATGGTGAAAAAAGTTACTTGTGCACACTAGCTTTACGTCTTTGCTGTATATTGTAAAATAAATATTAGGTCTTTACCTATGAAATTGCCGTTTTGTATGCAATAAGTGAAAGTACTTATTTTTTCAAACAGTAATAGTAATAGTCGGTAGATGCAAGTGCGACTATTACTTTTTCCAAAATTTAGACACCTTTTTAGTGGGTAAATAATTCAATTCCCGAGAGGCAGTACAAAATGCCTTTGAAGAGTTTGTTGCCTCCCGTCCAGCTGATTTTTACAAGAAGGGCATCAATAAACTGCCAATGCGTTGGCAAAGATGCGTCGATTGCATGGGTGATTACTTCGAATAACAGAACTAAAAAAGTTTAAATAAAATAAGTACTTTCACAAAACGGCAATTTCATAGGTAAAGACCTTTTATTAAAATGTAATAAAAATCTCGAACTTCGCCTGTGTCTCTCAAAAGGAATGAATTTTCTCATTTTTGCATCATTTTTCATTGATGTTCTTCTTCTATCGGTCGTAGCGTGATGGACGCTGAGTGTTGTGGGTTTGTGATCCACAAATTGTTCTGAGTCCAAGTGTTCTTTGTGTCCGTTTCATGTATGTTTGTAAAGAATATATTCCCCGCTACACAGGATATATTCCTAATGCGGGAGTTGTCTTTTTAAAGAAAAAAAAATTAATGATATTACTTAGCATAGTAAAATGTCGTGTGGTGACGGAATGTCGCCACCCCTATTCATCCCGTGGGTGTCGTAAGAGCCGACTAAGGGAGCAAACTACGCAGGACAACAGCACTGCAAAGAGAAGGAAAACTTGAAACAAACCCTATACTAACCCGTCTGGCCAGCGTGGTATAGTAGGCCAAAACCTTCTTTCTAAGGAGAGGCCTATGTCCAGCAGTGAACTATTATAGGCTGTTGATGATGATGAATATATTTTGCTTAGTTTTTATACTATAGCGCATTTCAACCGTTCGTATGACATGGATGTGTAGTCAAGAAAGACTTGGTGCTGAGGTGATGATATGGGATAAACGGAAGCCCTACAATATTTGATTATAAGCGATAAATAAATACTATATCAAGGATATCGCTAGCACTTAATCCACATGCAGTTTTTTTATGTCCGGTGTTTACGTCACTTCGATACATGTATATAAAAATATTGAGATTAGGGAAACGTAATCTAATCATTATTTTGATTGTATTTGTGTTGATATTGCTGTCCGAAAACAAAATAAATGCAATCGTGTATGATTTTTTTTCTTTTTAGTCTATTCATAAACAAATATTTGTGTGGTCTGCACGATCATTTGTTCTGTATCTGGGTGTAATTTAACTATAATATGTATGTATATAGTAATATCTAAGTATGTTTATCAGCAGTCTGTTTGGGCTTTGACTAGTTTGGGATCAGACGACCGTGTATTAGATGTCTGAGTTTATTATTATTAGTCTACCTGCAGAAGCTTTATATCAATTTGTTTTAGTAAGTAAAACCTATTTATGTAATATAATATACCTCACACATTTCACACACGGCTGTCTGATCCCAAACTAGGCAGAGCCTGTGCTATGGTGACCAGACTGCTGATAAACATACTTATATATTTTTAAATACATACATATTATAGATAAATTATACCCAGACACAGAACAAATGATCATGCTCATCACACAATATTTGTCCTGGGTGGGAATCGAACCCACGACCTCCGGCATAGCAGTCAGGGGCACTAACCACTCGACCAACAGGCCCGGACCAATGTGTAATTATCTACAATAGATACTAATATTATAATTGCGACTGTAACTCTGTCTGTTATCTTTTTATGACTAAACAAACGGCTTGACGGATCGGAATGAAACTTAGCAAAGAGATACTTATTATATAGGCTATGTTTTGTTTAAAAAGATGATTTGAAAAGGGGGTAAAATATGAAAATAGATAGTTCGTACATATCCTGTATTTCTCTCCCGAGAACGATCCCATTTGTTAGTATGAGTTGTGACCCGAATTTACTAGATAAGCGAAATGTCAACGCTAAATAAAAATACATAGTTGAATAGCTCCGTTGTCCTTTTAATAGGTGACGCATGTTTTACGAAACTTCCATATTGGTAATAAAGGTTATTTATATATATATATATATATATATACATCAGATTTCTCTTAAGTCTCAGAGTAACTCTCGGTTGAAAGAGTTGACGTAACATTGCTGTTATTTTTTAATTGCTGTGTAGTGTATTTTCAAAAAGATTTGTATAAATATCTTATTAATTATTTCCGTGTGGATTAAGAATACGGGGTGTTGCCAACGCTATTCATCCCGTGGGCGTCGTAAGAGAGCAAACTACGCGGGACAACAGCACTGCAAAGAGACGGAAAACTTAAAAAACTATACCAACCCGTCCGGCCAGCGTATTATAGTAGACCACAACCTCCCTAGTAAGGAGAGGCCTATGTCCAACAGTGGACTACTAAAGGCTATTGATGATGATGATGATTATGTTTTCTTTTTCATTTATTACTCTCAATGTTACTCTCGTAAAAATGTTTCAAAAAATGCGTTTACAATTATGTTAGAGATAACGATATGTCATTGTTCTAAATATTTACCTTGATAAGGATGATCAGAATGTGGGTTTTAGATAAAAAAAAGTATTTGCAGATGTTGTAAAGCCCAATTTAAATAATTAGAATCAATATTCCTTAAGAAAAAAGTATTCTATCTGGAGGTGTATCACAATATGACTGCACGGATGGCGTAGTGGTTTAAGCGGTCACCTCGCCTTTTCTTTTCGTTATGGGTTCGATCCTCACATGGGACAACACTTTATATGATCCACAAATCGTTATTCCCGGTCTGGGTGTTCTTTGTATTAGTTTCATGTATGTCTGTAAAGTCCCCCGCGACACAAGATAAATTCCTGGTGCGGGCGTTGTCTTTAAAAAATAATTAAGTCGATTCTAGACCTAACTACTTAAGAATTTCAGAAAAATACTAAATGTAACTTTGCCTGGGTTATAATAATGATCATTTTCCCCTGCAGAGTTTGTTTGAACAATATCAAAGAAAACGAAAGCGAAAGAATTAGTCTTAGAAAATTTTTATTCAAACACCGGATACGATAAAAGACATATTTGTTATCAAACATCGATATCTCACCTCGCATCTTCTAAACCACAGTTATTAATAATAATAATAATATTGTACCACATTCACACAACGCCATCTAGTCCCAAACTAAGCAGAGCTTGTACTATGGCTACTAGACAAGTGATATAAATACATACATGTATATACTTTTTTTTTTGTAAATACATACATATTATACATAGAAACACCCAGACCAAATCAAACATTAAATGTTCATGCACACAAATGTTTGACTTGAGCGGGAATAGAACCCGCGACCTTTGGAATAGCAGTCCGTTACACAAACTACTACGCCATTCGGTCTTCAAAAATAACTTTTTATTTTATTTTAGCCAGTTTGTCAGTTTCGATGGAGAACGGCTGTAAAGTCTTTAAAAAGTTTTGTAAATGACAAATTTCATAACAATGAGCCATAGACATTTTCTAGGATTATTTTTCCCATTATGGATACGACATTGTTGTCTGGTGAATTTGAAAGTTTATAGTTGTGGTATGTATGGTTGCTAATATGGAAGGGAATAGGGTGACACCCTAATCGCTTAAAGAATCTATCGAACCTCCACGTGCTCTCAAGGGATCAGGCTGAATGGAGGCAGAATCATGAGGCTTCATCTGGTAAAGAGCCTAGGTAGGTGCGGCGTCGATTCGGGGAGACATTGAAATCACATGGTACGGGCCCACCCCAGATTAGGTCGTCTTTGGCCGGCCGTCGGGGTGTCTTTTAGAGGAAACACCACACACCACTCTTAACATTGCCGCGATGGCATAAAGAAGCCGGAGATCCGAATTGATTTTCCACCTGGTTTCCAAAAAAAAAAAAGTTTTTTATTCTTCCACATCAACATCGAGTTGGAAGAATTTTGTGGTCACTAGTGTCTTCTTTTCTATTCAGATTATCTTTGATAAAATCAAATGCGCAAGCGCAGCTCCTGCAGATCCTTTTCCAAGTTGAACTTCGTTTTTGTAATTAGATATTAATAAAAAGTTAACTTCGAGATTCGCGACTATAATGATTGACAAGAGATCTGTTGTATTACGTGTTCATCATATCACCTTGCTGTTACGTTCCCAGTGTAACAATTACCTCTAAATATAACCGCATCTGGGCCGGCTCTGATGCCGTCTTACAGTTTGTTTTGCCAAAAATCATTCACTATAATATATCTAATCTATTTGTATATGCAAATGTAATCTGCGCTTGCGCACGTGTTAAGTTTCTCCTGTCGTGATTTCTTTTAACTTATGTAAACTTTGTTTAAAACATTTTTGCTTGCAGACAATTTTATTTATAAACTTTTCATTAAACTGATTTTTATTTCATCCTATAAATCCCGACAAACGTTATCCTGTTTTCTTCTCCTCGGACCGTCATTCCCTCTGAATTTGCTGAGGGCAGTTGTCACAGTGTGTCGCAATCAAACCGACTAAAACCACACAGTGTGCCACACTGCGCTTAAATTGGTAGAGTTCCAGGAATAGCTTTTATTAAGGTATCCGAACTCCTCTAAGACCTTGCCAGCATAAGCGTAGGTACCACCTTCAGGTAAAAACCTCTTATTTAAGCGAGCTACAACCACACGTCGTCACCCTCTCCTGGCTACGATAAACGTTAACCCGCCAGCACGTATAATTTCCTTTTTGGTATAAACAAT